CTAAGCAAGTTTGTTGTGTTTGCTCCTCTAGAAACATCAACACACCAAAGGCTACGTGCTGTGAAAAGTCTCACAAACCGAGTGGAAGGGAACGGATGATAAATGTGAAAAAAGGCAAGCGGGTCAATACAAACCACCCCAGCGCTTGCGTAATCCGCGTTATCATATTTCAGACTTTAACGACATTACTGTCTTTACACAGCCCACTCTCATTTATCAATGTTATTAATTTTCGTAGGATTCGTCATCAGTGTGGTAGTTTAATTAGATAAGGCATTCTAATTTTTATCATTAATTAGACGCTCACATTTAACTAATTATTTTCTGGCTCTCAGATTGAACACTTATTTAGAATATGTAGTATATGTATATGACCTGTTCATCAGTCCAAAAAAAAAAGAAAAGAAAAGAAAAGAAAACGGGCTTTTAATTTATAGTTAATAGCCTACGCCACGCACAAATACACCTTACGTATGTGTATACGCATGTTGAGTTTACAAGATAACTAAGCATTACAAATATAATATAATGTCAGTTATGTATGAATATTTGCGTACGCGGCTCTGATAGTGGCCCAATTCGTTACGTTTAATTTAATTGCCTTATTAAGGAGGGATTAACATAAAGAGAAGTCAAATTAATGGGGTCTGGTCAATGTCCGCCACGGAATGCCGTTGTTACGGCTCATCAGGATATAGTTTTTTAAATCCAAAGTCAAAAAAAAAACGAGAATTTAATTTATAAGTAATACTATTAATATCATGTCGAACCTAGCATATCCCGAGCCCACGGGGATGAAAGTGGAAACAAAGTGTTGTTTAGTGAGGATATATGCCAAGTCAACTGCAAATGATGATTCAATTGGAATGCGCCGGCAAGAGTCCCAAAGAGGCGGCATCAACAAGGAACGCCCATTGCATGTTACCACCTGTCAGGACATTTGTAAATGTAAGTCGCTGATATCTTATTTAATGCTTTTCCTGTTCTTAACATAAAACTTATTTAACTAATTTGATTAGATTAGAAAAGTTAGGTAAGTTAGTTAATTATAAAAAATATGACACGTTTTTTCTAAAATATCATAATTATTTTTCTTAATACCCCATCTTTCTCTTCTACTTAATTATGGTTGAGGGAGTATCCATAGGGGTAATTTAGAAAAAATTGATAAATATGAAAAATAGATCTTATATTTATGACCAAAACCAACTCAATAATTAGATCCTATATTAAAGACCAGAAGAGTACTTTTTTTTAATTTTGCATTTTTTGACAACAATTTAATATTTCTTTAATACGTGAGAAACCCTCATTACAAATGATTACTAATAAGAATCACAGCGGCACTATGCAATAGGCGCAAATACGGCATTTTCCAACCACGTAACCATAAAAAGTAAGGGTCGAGAAATACATTAAAAACTAATCGGAATATTAAATGAAGGATAAACTTATATGTTCATATCAAACTTTTCTTCTTCTTTTTTTCCCCGTGCGAGAGAAGTAATAATAATAATATACCCGTGACATATATGGCCTCATTTGTTAGTCTCTTACAGATCGAGAAATACTTGCATACTCCCAGAGTACCAACTCATCCCAACTTTGTCCAATAAAAATGCTCCTGCACAATAAATTTGAATCCAACGTGTTAGCCAACTCACTTATATTAATTTGTTGTTTTAAAAAAATAAAAATACTTTTGTTTTTGAATTTCCCGTACTGCCCTCTCTCCTACGTCTCACTCCATCGCTTCATCTCTTTGGTCTCTTCGTTCCGTCACCAAACTCTCTCCCTTCCTCCCTTCATCTCCCCATTTTCTACCTTGTCTCTCCTCTCCTCTCCTCTCCTCTCTACCGAGACACAATAGAAGCTACGGCTCCTTTAGAAGAAGCCTAATCATAGTTTTTGTCTCTTTCAACTATGGTCTCTTTCGATGGAGAAGATGATGAATAGTAGCAGCGGCCTTCCAAACGCAAGTCAGATCAATCCACTCTCCTCTCCACTGGCCTATCTGCATCGCTTCCCAAACTCGTCTTCCCTCTTATCACATACTTGTCCTCTGGCTCAGCTTTCCTCCTCTTTGGTTCTCGTCGCCATCTCGCGTCCTCATCGGCTCCCTTATCATCTAGGATGAGGATGATGAATTAAATGCTCAAATGATCCCTAATGCTCCCAAGCCGCCTCCAAACTAGTCGTACCTCATAGCTCCTAATTTAAAGGCGTTCAGCTCCTCCCTTCCGTCGGCGTTCTCTTTTTCTCGACGAAGGGAGGAGGGGGAAGGGTTTGGAGACGCAAGCGGGAGGCAGGGGAGAGGGACTGAGAAGGGGGAAGAGGAAAGAGGGCACTAAGGGAAACTGCAAAACAAGCATTTTTTTTAAAACAACAAATTAATATAAATGAATAGGCTGACATGTAGAGTGAAATGAATTGAGCTGGAGCATTTTTAGTGGACAGGGTTGGGATGAGTTGGTACTCTGGGAGCATGTAAGTACTAGACAGATCACAAATGCCTTGGCAAGAATTTCTCCTTCAATTTAATGTCGTCAGATATTGTACGGACGACACGAGGTAGAATACAATTTTTTTTTTAATTTGATACGAAACGCACCCCCGCAGATACAACTCCGACTCTTAACAAGACTCATTTTATAATACAGTTTGTATTAAAAAATTAGTTTTATATTTAAGAATGACGGAGTAAATATGTTAACCGCTAAATCCAAAGCCTCTTTTAAACACAACTTTGTTGTTAAAAACATCTTGCCATTAATCAAGATAAAGAACGTGCTATATTAGTACTTAATATAAAAACTAATTTTATATTTAATTTAGTTTTAAATATAAAAATTTAATTTATTTTTTATAATATAGTCATTATAGTAATTGTACATATTAAATGTTTAATTAAATATTAGTTTTAGCCAATACACATGATTAGTAAGGATATTTTATAAAAGACAATATCTATTTATTACAAATAATTAATTTAACAAATATTTTTAATCTATTCAAATTAGTGAATTAGTTTTTATATAAAAAATGAGAGGTAATAATATATAGCATAGTAGTGATTTTGTTGGAAACAAAAGACTGGCGATTTAATTTTTGGTCCACTAATAAATTTCTGATATAAAAAAATTGAAATTACTAAATTTAATATTAGATTTGGTTCTCAGACTTTAATAGGTTTTGATAACATTTAATAACAACATATTTTTATTGAAATTCCTTACTTGAAATTAAGTGATTTCAAGATTATTTTTGTAGGATTCTCCTAAAATTTTAGGTCCCTTTGTCTTCTCCCAACTGACATTTATTCTTTTTTATTTTTTTTATTTTTTAACACCAGCAATTGACACTTATTCAACCACAGAGAACTTCCCACTTGATGAACGTCTTGGGCGTAGAGGGTGACCCGTTCATGCTTTCATTAAAAAAATGCGCATATATAAGGTTTGTGAAAGGGTGATTATCATCAATGATATTTTTTTTCTTATTTAAGTAATTAGAGTACTATTATTATTAATTCTTTTTACAGTCATTACTCTGCGAATAATGTGAACCTAGGGACATAATTAACGATAGAAAATTAGAGGATAGTGTTGGGCCTAAAGTTTCATTAGCACAAAAAAATGAAAAGGGCTAAATCTTCCAAATCCTGGGTCAATCCACCCCAAAACTTAACGTGTCAGGACATTTTCCGCTTTCTCGGGGTAATTTGAGATTATGAGTTGGGATCTCATGATAAAAAGCCCATATGGATTTTCAACGGACAGGTCGCATAAAGCGGAGGGAGTATTTTCTGAAAAATTCAATTGATCCCTCCCATGAGAAACTTCACAAAATTTCATTAAAAAAATTATAAATTATTGTATCTAATGTGAGAAATAAGAAGGGACGGGGGGAAGCAGCTTGGTTAGACCCATCTTATGGTGTGGAGGCGAACTGTTTGGCACAAACAATCCCCCAATCAAAATGTGGCGGTGGGGGAATGATTTCTTTTGTATATATAGTATTGCACCTGGACGATCGTTAGCACCAATGACCGCATAGCGCAGTGGATTAGCGCGTTTGACTTCGGATCAAAAGGTCGTGGGTTCGACTCCCACTGTGGTCGGTCGCCTTCTGTCATCCTGTTTTATGAATTTACATTGATGTCGTCCGAACAGCCTCAAATCTGTTTTTCTTTTTTGACCAGAAACCTCGAATCTGTTTTTTTTTTGACCGGTAACCTCGAATCTGTTTAGGACTCGTACATCCCGCGATTTTTTATTTCCAGGTAATGAAACAATCAAAACAAAGCAATGAAACATTATCTCTTGAGTGCTTACAAAAAAAAAAAAAAAGAAGGTTCCAGCACATATTGAACAATTAATTTACATAGAACCGAACCAGTAATATGCCGGAACAGCAGTAGTTTTTTTGATGAGTTCGGATTGGTCTCAATTAAAATCACGTCTTAGACAGTACAAATGAAAAAATACCCTCCATAATATTCATTCATATATTATCATGTATACCTAACTTAAATGTTTTAATACTGTATATTTACAAATTATTTTATATTATCTTCAGTCCTAATTATAAGACACCGTTTAGAGTTTATAAATATTATAAATTATAATATCATAATTAGGACTAGAGGTAGTATTTTAGATAAACTGTCCAACTAAATTAATATAAGTTTTTATGATTAATTAATTAGAACTATCAATAAATCGTTAAATGTATATAATACTTGAAAAAAATGTATGTAATACTGAAAAACTAATCAAGAGACAAATAAAAATATAAAATAATTTAATTTATCCTTTTTAATGTTGTTTGCATATATTCTTCTATATTCGTGCATAAGATAAAAGGAAAGAATTCGTTTATCTTATTATGCAAAAAAGATCAATTATTTTTTATTTTTAAAATCACTTTTAAATTCTCATTCCATTTCATTCTATCTCGCAAATCATCTTGCCAGTGGAATTGGATCGCAAATTTCGCAGACTCGCGTTTGAGAGCAGAAAAAGGAGACTCGCAGATCACTGCCATGTTAAAATACATTTCTTGTTCTGCCCCCTCAAAGCAATTTTCAGTTTTCACCTCCAGCTTCTCAGCCTCCTCTCTCTAGATCAAGAACAGTAACTTCAACTTAACGCCTGGGTGAGGATCACGAACTCCCACCGATTGACCTTTTCAGTTTTACCCACTTTGCGATACGTAAATCCTTCTTTCTCACTTTCTTCCTGTCATTTTATTCTCTATTTTCATCGCCCAGGGGCTCTACAATCTGTATCCATTACAGGGGAGGTTGAGAAAATTCAAAATCATGAAACAACTGTACAAACAATCCAGCTTAAATCACAGGAGGGACGAAGAGATGCCGGGTTCGCAATCTTCCCCCTATTCTCCCAAAACTCTTAAACATCACAGATCACTTCCTAGATCCATCAACTACATCTTGAGAGAGCAAAGACTTCTCTTCATCTTAGTGGGTATTTTGATTGGCTCCACGTTCTTCATCCTCCAACCCACCCTCTCTCGGCTCCAGCCTTCCGAGCCACATCCCTCCCCCGTGTCATTCTCATCTGGATTCTCCCGGCGTGATCAGCTTCAGACTGCGTCTTACTTCTCTTATGGGGTGAAAGGCAAGGTGGGGAGAGTCCCGGCAGGTATCAGCGGCCGGCGATTGAGGATTGTGGTAACCGGTGGTGCGGGATTCGTGGGAAGTCATCTCGTGGATAAGCTTATTGGAAGGGGGAACGATGTGATTGTAATTGACAATTTCTTCACCGGTAGGAAGGAAAATCTGGTACACCTCCTTGGCAACCCGCGATTTGAGCTTATTCGTCATGACGTGGTTGAGCCAATTCTCTTGGAGGTGGATCAGATCTATCACTTGGCTTGCCCAGCATCACCTGTGCATTATAAGTACAATCCTATCAAGACCATCATATCCTCTCAGTTTTCTTATTATTGAGATTGCTTGATATATTCATACTTTAGCATTTGATGTTGGCTGGAATTTAATCTTAGTTTGTTTTGAGATTCTTAACTATATGTATACAAGACAAATGTGATGGGTACCCTTAATATGCTGGGCCTTGCAAAAAGAATTGGCGCGAGGTTTCTTCTTACCAGTACAAGTGAGGTTTATGGAGATCCACTGGAGCATCCCCAGAAAGAGACGTACTGGGGGAATGTAAATCCAATAGGTGAGGTGCTTGATCAGAATATCCCAGAAAATTCTTAATAATAGTAAGTATGCAACCATGTTGAAAAGCTATACGAAAATTGTAGGTGAGAGGAGTTGTTATGATGAAGGAAAACGCACTGCAGAAACCTTAGCCATGGATTATCATCGAGGTGCAGGCGTTGAGGTAACTTCAACATTTTATTCATCAGGGTCTATTGTAGGATAGCTAATTTAATGTCTATTATTGGCTAGGAAGTTTGAAAGCATCCATGCATTTCACGAAAAAGAGAGTCAGATTCTCCTTTCTTTCTTTTTTCTTTTTTTGAAGTACTCATTAACACTGTTATCGATTTTCTCAACAATCCTTTGCTTCTTAGATGGTTAATCTCCCAGGAATGTAAATCACAGGTTAGTTTTCAAGCATGCCACCGTGATCTTCCCTTGAGATTTTCAACCTGTTAAATTGGCACTCAAGTAGCCACTGTAGTCAATCAATGATCTAATCATTCCAAAATTCTGACGAGCCACTTTAATTCGTGCTCGGATGGCTAGGCTTCAAATTCTAATTCAGTAAACATGAGAGTGAGGCATGAATATACCTTGATGTTCTGAGATATCCTTGCATAACCCTTCCTTGCTTTTAATTTTATCTACTCCTCCTCGCCTTTCATTGCTCTCTACTCTATTTCAGAACTCCTTTTTTAAAACAAAACTCATTTATTCTTGATCATGGACTTAAAAGTGTTTCTTTCTGCATGTTATTTGGCAAATTGGAGACCTTTTTCGAACCCATAAATCAGAGGAACTGTACATCTCTGAGGATACCTACAATAAGTATACCTGAAGAAAATATTAATCTGTTGTTTACCCCTTATAGTTCCCATGACAGGTTTCTTGAGAATAAAAAGAAGCACCAGTTATGACCCAACTTAGAAAATCCTTGTCTTTTTCAGCCTTATTGATTGCTGGTATTTTATAATTTTTATTGAGATCCTTTCAACTCTGATTTATTTTTTGTGCATCTGGGATTTTCTTGACTTGCCCACTAATTTGCTAAACTACTTATTTTTTAAAGAAGTACTTATTTTGGTTTTTGGAGGTATTTGGACATGTAGGAGGGAAAACGTAAGCTCCTTTTGAATGGTAGTAGAAATACCTTTTCCCCTGCAGAAATTAAGCATAGAATTGAAGCTTCTAATTTGAACAGAAGCAGAAAATTATATCTTTGAAGATGAAAATACTTTCACTTAAAAGCACTAATTAGATCCCGACATATTCCCCTGCGATGTCTACTCAAATCTATATATATGCCATTTTCGGTACTTTGACACTAAAAAGCACTTCTATTTGAATAGCTGCTAAACATAGTAACATATTGGAGTGTTTTTTTAAAAACTTTCTTTCTCGCTTGACTTTTTGTGAAACTCCACTTAGAAACAAAAAGAGATTTGAAATAAGCAAAAACCCACAACCATCCCAAATGGGATCTCAGTTCAATGCAGAGTTTGATAGTTTGTAAATTCTTCGTACAGAGAAACATTGGTGTTAATCCAATATGATTGAATAATAAACTTACTGCGGTAGATTATCTAATTATATGCTATAGTCAGTCTTCCAAGACAAATTTCTGTAGAGACTGATCTTTGTCTCCCTGGTTTGTAGGTTCGTATAGCTCGAATTTTCAACACTTATGGGCCTCGTATGTGTTTAGATGATGGGCGTGTAGTTAGCAATTTTGTTGCACAGGTTTGACTCCCTTCTCATCTTTTCTCTGTTTGGTTTAAAATAATAAATAAAGAAACATGGATGGGGGTTTCAAGTACCTTTAATTCTTTCCCATCCTTCCAGGCCATTCGCAAACAACCTATGACAGTTTATGGTGATGGCAAACAAACCCGAAGCTTCCAATATGTCTCCGACTTGGTATGGCGCATATTATTTTGTTTTGAGACAATTTCTTTGGATCCTGTTTGTGCCAACTGCTGTCGCTTATGCCTACAATGGTTTTTGAAGCTCCTCTTTGGAGCTTGGAAAATTTATTGAAAGCTTTTTAATATAGCGCAAGTTTCTAGCTGGCAGAGTCAAGTGTTAAATGGACACTACATGTGAATTTTTATGTCATGACAAAAGTTGAAGTATAAAAATTATGAATTCCCGCTTCTGATGATGCTTAATTAGGATGCATGACCTGATTTTCTTGTGTGAAATTGCAACTCCTAAGACCACTTGTGCGCTAATACAGTATCTCTAGAGAAATAGTGTTTCGGAAGATCGAATGAAATGATTGGTCTTCACATATGGTTTAGGTAAGATGAATATGAAAATATGATGGCCTCCATTTGCTCTTTCAAGATGGAAATATATTGCATCGGATAGGTTCAAGTGAAAGAGACTGAGAACCTGTGCAGCATTGAAAATGATGCTATGATGAACTTAACTTGTATGCGATACACAGGTTGAAGGGCTTGTGGCTCTGATGGAAGGGGAACATGTGGGACCTTTCAACCTTGGTAACCCTGGGGAGTTCACCATGTTAGAGCTGGCTGAGGTATCTCATCTTTCTCTCTTATTTTCTTCTTTGCTTTGTTTTGTCATCTAATCATGCCTGTTCCTTATGTAGACGTTCAGATCAGATTTGGATGTGTATATTTTACACTTTTTCCTAAATGAATGGATATCCGTCCAAATCATGATATCCAAGATATCCATAGCGTATATTTTTCTTTTTCAGGGAGGGAGAGGGGGGTTGCAAAGATCAGAGATTTATGCTGACATCTGTCTTCTTGTCACGTTCTGTGTGTGTGTTTTATCATTATTAATTTTTAAATAAATACAATACGCAGGTTGTCAAAGAAACAATTGATTCAAGTGCTACAATTGAGTACAAACCTAATACAGCAGATGATCCACACATGAGGAAACCGGATATCAGCAAAGCAAAAGAACTTCTAAACTGGGAACCAAAAATCTCACTAAGAGAAGGGCTGCCTCTTATGGTCAACGATTTCCGAAATAGAATTTTGAATGAAGATGAAGGAAAAGGGTTATGAATGAAGAATTGATGATGAATAAGAAGGGATGAAACGAGGATGGAGGCAGACCTTGTATCTTTATGGTGAAGAGAGCTTCTGTCCTTCAACTTTTGCGTCTACGATTACCGCCATTAGAGCCAGAATGTTAACAACGGGTCCATTTACATATATGCTTGCTAAGCTCCCGATTGACTTGCTATGTTAAATTTTTGACAATTTTTTTTACCCGCACTTTTCTTGCCTGATGTATGGGTTAGATTTTTTAGTATCTATTTTAGTCTGGTATGGCCTGAATGAAAGTATTCTATAGAAATCGTGATGTGATTAGTCAGTTGAACAAAAACGGAATTGGCATTGCGGGTTGCTGGTAGTCACAGTATTCATCCTATGTAACAGATCCGAGTCTATTCCATTTTAGTTGGAGATTGCGTATTCTTTAAACTCGTGTTCGAGTATACTTCCAATAAAACTTTAAGTTTTATTTGTTACTAAAACTAGTTTCATTGATTCATGGGTCACCTTAAAATATTTTGCGGCACTCTTAAAAGTATTTTTTAGATGCATTAAATATCTTGTATCTTAAAATATTTTGTAGTTTATTCGACATCTTGAAATATTTTTTTCAAGTGCATTTAGTATCATAAAAACTATTTTATGGTGCTTGATATCTATTTATTTAATAGACCTTTTGAGAAGTTAACGACAAAGTTAAAATTACTCATGAAATAATACTTTAAAAGCACGGTTGCTTCTTAAAAAACTAATACTTTAAAAGTAAAATTATACCATAAAATATTTTAAAATATTAGATATATCTAAAAAATATTTTAGGGCGCGGAATGCAATGCATAGTAAAATATTTGAAAGTGCGTTTATAATTCAGGGTGGAGACGCACATTCCCGTTCAAAGGAAAGGTGGAAGCGGGGAAGGAAAGCTGGGAAGTTGGGTAGCAATGTAGCACCAGACTTGGCCCTTGTTGTAAAATGAGTCAGGTTCGATTTAATTGCAGTCTTTCAGCCCACACTTCTTGGATACTTTTACAGGCCCAGTTTCTGCTGCGGCCTTGGTGACCCAAAAATTTAAAAAAAAAAAAAGGAAAAAAGAAAAGCGACCCTGGACTGGAATAACATCCTCAGGAGGATTGAGGATTTCTGCTTCCATGATTATACATCCTCTTGTATTATTAAAGTGGATAGAGTGATGATAGTATTGGTATTGCAAGACCTCGTTCTGGTTAGTGAATTAGGCTCCCCCCAATTGAAAAAGAAAAGGTGATAGCATTTCATATTGTCAACCCAAAAGAGATGCCCTTCTATTTCTTTCTTTATGCTTTCGGTTCTGATGGTTATTCGGGATCACACCCACTACTTGGTTCTCCTGGACCACGCGTCAGAACTCTAGAGGAATCAAAACCCTATCTGCCTGTTGGAAAATGTAAATCAAATTTTCCTTCTAGTGTTTTAAAAACGGTTTTGTTACATTTACCCATGATTGACTCGATGTTACTATTTATTTTCCTGGTTCATAATCAAATATCAGCGTTGAAGAAAATTATATTAATATCTGCGGCTTTCTAAGGTTTCTTTTCCCGCAGCTGTTACATGGCTCGACGAAGGCCTAAATTTGAATTTTTTCCAATGAAAAAAGATAGTGTGTCTTGTGAAAGAAGCTCAAGAAGGACGCGACAAATAATCGTGAAAACAGGAAAAGGCTAGCCTGGGGTCATCAACTTAAGATGGGTCAGGCACGGGAAGGAAGAAGGAAAGCCATGGAAGCATCTGATTCCGCAAATTGTGAGGAGGACTTTCTTTTTTGTTAATGGAAGAGACGAAGAAAGTGGCTTTGCGTCTCATCCTCCCACAGCAAAGCAAAATTCGAAATGGTTTGCTAACTGGCAGCATTTGTTCCCTTAGAATCTCAATCATATTGCGTTTCCATTCTCTTTTACAATCCTTTCTTTATTTCTTTCTTTCTTTTCCTCATAATTATTATTATCATCATCATTAGGTTTAAGTCTCACTCTTCATGTGCAACCAGGATCGAACGTTTGTGCTAGTTTGATGCTTTTTAATTTCTCTGTGCTTTCAGAAAAGGTTTGCAAAAACAAAGAAAGCATTATTCTCAACTTCAAATGCCATTTTTAAAATTCAGACGATGTGTTAGATTTCTAATTGCTCAATTCAAAGTAACCAGAAAACGATACCTACTTTCGTTAATGATCTTTAAATAACTTTATTTAATCACTAACGTCAATTAGCATCACACTGCACTTAACATATTTGATTCAATGTCTTAATCTGATAAGTGCCCTCTGTCTTTAACAGAAAGTTACAGACGCATAGCTCTCAAGTGCTAGGTCTGAATTAAAACCTGCAGGGCATGCCCAACATGTCAGCAGGTTCACAGAGCACAAGCATTTTCACAGTGCTTTAGGTGTTCGTGCCCCCCCTTTTTTTTTTTTTGGTCACTTCGCTTCACTTGGAAGTAAATAATGCATATCACTGTCATATATATTATAATAACAATGTAGTTTCAAATTTTTAGGACAAAATCATTACAAAGGAAAAGACATGCTTCTGAGTTACAGTGAAGTTGAGAATCGAAGCTACAACAGAACTGTAGTCCTCTATACTTGTGAGACCTTAGAAACACCCTTAAAAAAGAGAGGCAGGGTCTAGACTGGTTGTTATATTATCTATTTGTGAATGGGGTCCCCAGAGAAATAGAAATGTGCCAGCGAGGCAGCAACTGTCTTAGGTGGTACACTATTACGACATACATCCAAACTGATTTGAATTTAAGTCTTCGTCCAAGAGAAACATGACTTCAACATTAGCCCTTTGATTCTTTCATCCATATTCATAGAACTGTAGAAAAACTTTAAGCGTTTCCTGCCCACATTATCTCATTCGAACCTTACACTCTCTTTAGCTCACCTCAGACAGCCCCAAGGAATTGAAGTTTAAAAGCAATCAGTGCCAACCTTTTTTGCTTTGCTCTTTAGTCTCTATATCTTCCTCTCTGTTTAATGCTGATTCTCTATACTAGTACCAATTCTTCTTCGTTATCACTATCCAAAGATGAAAGGCATAGAAATCTTCTGCGCTTCGCAAGCCTCAACAGCCATATGTGTTAGTACGGATGAAGCCTCCTCTTCCTCTTCTAAATCTGTTCAACTCGGTGGACGAGCCATCGACCGCCACAACCCCATCATCAGAGATTCAAGAAGAGCCCCGTGTGCTTCTCCTTCCTCCTCGCCTCTGCCACCAAAAGATCCAAAACCTCAGGAGCAACCCCAAAAGGCCAAGAAAAACTCATCTTCAAAGCCGAGGGACGAGAACAAGAGGAACTCAAGGAAGGGTCATGATCAGAGGAAGAAAAGTGCTGCGGCAAGGCTGACTGAACATATCACAAACAGTTACTCTTCGAAGCCACTTGAAAGTATAATTCGAAGAAGCTGGGTTAGGCCACCTCCAGATTTGATCACTCCTCCAGGTTCTTCCAGATATCTGCTTACTGAGACTTCCGTGTTGGATGGCTTGTCCAACTATGACCCAGTTTTGGCCTTGACTCCGTTTGATGATAACAACCAGAAGGCTCAACCTGTTCATCAGGATGAAACCAATCGTACTTCTAAACCCTCCACTTCTTCTCTCTCAAGACCTCCTTCCTCAGACAAGGTTAGTTATCTCCACAATGTATGCTCCGTGTTTAGGATTCTCCGTCGTAGCCGGCCGTCATATTGCAGGGTAATGATATACACAAACACCTCTGTGTGGATCTTTCTTGCAGGTAGTGGTATTGAGGGTTTCTCTGCACTGCAGAGGTTGTGAAGGAAAACTCAGGAAACATCTCTCCAGAATGGAAGGTCAGCTAGTCGTCAAGCTTCTCTTAAAACTTTCTTAGCCCCACGAGTTATTTTTGCATGGTGTCGAAATTTCTTTGCCATTAATAACATCATTCTCTTGATATTTGATAACCAAGAATTCACTCAAAATTCTTACGATTTTGGCAGGAGTTACGTCCTTCAACATAGATTTTGCAGCGAAAAAGGTGACAATAGTTGGAGACGTGACTCCATTGAGTGTATTGGCAAGTGTGTCGAAGGTGAAGAATGCACAGTTCTGGCCAGTACCCGCAACCCCAACAGCTGAAATTAGGAAATGAAATTAATAATTTATATTGTCGAAGAAAAAGAAATTTAGTAGAATATTGCGGTGGAGCAGTATGATTTTTAATGTGGATCAGGTAATGATTTAATTAGTGTAAATTGGAAGCGTTGGCAAGTGTGGTTGCCGATTTGGATCATGTAAACTGAAAAGCGCTGACGAGGTAGGAAAGTTGATGTAGCCGAGAAAATAGTGTCGTCCTAATGCTTTATTAGTGTCGGAGTTTGAATTGAATTTGCTTAATAATTTTGCTTTCCTTTTCGTTAATCCAATCCAAGCCACGCTTTCTGAAATGGATGGATGAATGATTGGATATTGCAATCTCAATCAAACATGCCTACTTTTCCACAATTATGATTATTTACGCCAACAATTACATCCAAATGTTCCTGTCGATCTCTAGCTACTTAAGAGTGGTCAGATGGAAATATATTTATTGTTATTCGTCCTTAGTTCGACATTAATACCGACATCCTTTCAGATATCATGTTCTGTTTACTTATTGTGAAACAAGAGACCTTGCACTTTCGCTTCCGGCTCCCAATTTTTCAACCTTCCATTAAAGGTCGAACAAATAACTAAGCTAGGCAGAACGTCCCCAAAAAAAAAAAAAAGGTTGGAAGCTGACTCTATTTCCTGAAGTCTCAACGATGTTCTAAACTGGGCATGTTAATTTTTTTATTGTGATATAGTTTTAGTATTTTTTGACAAGTAAAATTTTATGATTTTCTTGGGGCAGATACTATCAGTATTTTATTTATTAAAAGACTTCTATTAAGGACATTTTTATCGTTTAATTAGGAAATCTACTGAGATTAGATTTTTATGTACACTCACAAGACAACCAGGATTAAAGATAAAAAGGCAGTAGAGAATTCAAGGCTTCAATCAAGTCATATTTTCGTTTTATTTTCTCACTTACATCCACATATTTAAATACTCGCCGTCTTCTCAGTTTTTCTCCGGCAATCTTCTATTTCCAGGTTTCTGTTGACCTAGCACCATCCAATCCCTCTTTCACAATTAATGCATCCCTCTTCCTCACCGCTCGGCTTCCTTTTTTCATTAACGACATCTTCCTCCTCCCTGCAACTGCACCAAGAACCACCATTCCACTATTTCTCTCAACCAGATCGCCACCTGAACAGCAGAAGTACCTGTGGTGAAGTTCGTTGCAAGGGGTGCGAGGAGAAGTACCAGGTTGAGTACGATTTGTCGACCAAGTTATCAGTGGACTGAGACAAAGGGCCGTAGAACCGAAAAAGGGGCGCAATCCTGAGAATTTAGACTGGAAGCTTTGTGGTTCTAGCAAATGCGTTGAACCTCTTATTGCCAAGAAGAAATCCACCAATTGGATGTTTTTGTTGCAACTACAAATGATTGGGTATTGCAATATCACTCATCTCAGGTACTTTTGCAAGTGTGTCAACTTTCACAGGGTCGCAGCCAAAGATTGCTTTATTCCACTTGCATGGATTTACAACGGCAATCAGATACAAATGCTTATGTTCTTTAAGGCCTTTTCTTTTATTCAATCTTCGCCCCATGATATCTCCAAAAGAATTTTTCTTCAACAACACCATTCATGTTGTATGTAATTATAAAATACACTTTACAATGCAAAGAAACTAGCAAATTTCAACCAAAAGAAAAGGTTCTCGTCATGTTTTTCTCCAGCAGCCCAATACCATCCATCCATTACTCGAACTACATTGTATGTCTTACGTACAATTCAATGGAGTAAGCATTTCCAGAATTTGCATATTCCTACTTAACCAGGAATATAATCCCATTATCATCTCAAAAAAGCATAGCAAGTGGGGATCAAATCAATGCATGCATGCTCTGCTGACAAGATCCATGTTATAGAACGTAGGAAGCATAAGGGATAATCTAAAGACTAACATGATGTAATAGATGTGTTTCATCCTTTCAAAATTAAAAAGGTTTCACTGACGACCCCCACCCCGCTCCCCAAGTCCTAACAATTCCGAATCTACCAAAGAGAACGAAAGCAGTAATTCTCAAACCCCGTTAGAGGGCTAACAGATGCTCTATATTATCAATGGGGTCGGTATCCATCATCCAAATCATTTGACCAGACAAGAGGAAAGAGTCGCAAGAGAAATCAAAATTCCCATTTAAAAGCGAAAAAACAAAAAGAGAAAGACTAAGGACAACCTTTTTATTAACACGGTCATTGTTATGTAGGGAAAAAATTCAGTAAGCCATGTTGCTCAGCTCCTTGTTCCAGCCCCCTCCCTCTCAAACTTCTGCGAGAAAAACTTGGTTGCGAACATATTGTCCTCAAGATACTCCTTGTAAGGGTGATTCTTTGGGACGAGCCTCCGGAACTTTTCAAACTGTTTCTCCGCTTCATCTTTCTTTTTCAGCAGGGTATATATGATACCCTGACATAAGTACGGCCTGAAATCTCTTGGTTCTTCCTTGACAAGTGCCTGATAGGACTTCAGCGCATCAGTAAAGGACCCCTCCATGACTTTAATCTGCGCAAGTAATAGCTTCAAGTCTCTGACATCTGAGTTCCTCTTTTCCTTTTTGCAAAACTCCACTGCTTTTTCAACCCTTTTCACCAAGTCGTTCAATGGCTCATTTGATTCGGAAGTAGCCATTGCAAGGCCATGATAAGCTTCAAAACGGTAGGGATCTTTATTCAGAATGTCTTCGAACCCACGTTTGGCCAATTGGTAGTCACCATTATAGATATACATATGAGCTTTCATAAGCGGCCACTCAAAGTCCTGGGGTTCAAGTTCAATCAGACGGTCAAGGACCTGAATAGCCTGTCCAATTTTATTCGCTCTGATTTTAAGCTCCAAGAAAGACCGAAGAGCTTCGACGTTATTAGGGTTATCCAGCAATTGCTCTACAACAGGTCTCTCCTTTTCATCAAACCAAAGTTTATCCATCGACTCTTGGGCGGACTCCACCGTGGGCGACGAAACCGGAGCTGCAATAACAGGCATATTCTGAAAACGCATGAAGGAAAATGCAGACGCGGCTATAATGATGCAAACAGTTTCGACAACGGGCGACAACAGAGGATTTAGGGTTCGGAGCAGACGGGTCAGAATGGGTCCGGGCTTATGAAATGAGGGATCGCTGGAGGAGGATGAGCACGACGATGGGGAAGAGGCTCTGAGAGGCGATAAGCGGAAGGATGAAGAAGGACATTGGAGGGGCGAAGCCGGGGGTGGTAGTGATCTGAAGGAGACCGAGGAAAAGGGGCTTGGAAAGGACAGGCGGTGGTGACTAGTTGATATGTGCAACGGTTGGCCACAGTGGTGCAATTTAGAGAGAGACTCCATAGTGTGAGGTCTCTGTGAGAGAGAAGGAGGGAGAAGAAGCGAAGATAGGGGATCGGGAGGTAGCCTAAAACCCTGATTTCAGACAGCAAATGGTAATTGATGGAAAGGAGAGGGGTAATCGATTGCTCTCACCCTGGTTTGAGGGATGAATGTAGCAACGATGTCGTTTCGTCTCCTCTATGGCTTTTCCTTCGTTCCACCGCTTTTGAGTTGCCCAAAAAAAAAAAACTACTTCCGTTTTTAGTATAAAAAATAATTAACTCATTTAAGTAAAGTAAAAAAATTAGTTAAATTAGTTATTTATAATAAATATGTATTGTCTTTCTTAAAATATTTTTGTTAATCAAATATATTGATTAGAATTATCATTATTATAAAGACTATTTTAGGAAAAAAATAAATATGAGAGATAAAATAAATTAAAATTTTATATTTATGATCAAAATAAAAATTAAACAAGATGTTATATTAAGTACTACCTCATACCCTTAATATAAGATCTTGTTTAACTTTTATTTTAATCCTAAATATAAGATCCAAATCCACCTTATCTTTTATATTTATTTATTTATTCTTAATGTAGTCTTTTTAACAATGGTAGTCCTAACTAGTATACTTCATTAGCAGGGATATTTTAGGAAAGACAACAGCTATTTATTATAAATAACTAATTTAATTTCTTTTGTTAATCTTCTCAAATTAGTCAACTAACTCTTATAATTAAAACCGGAGGTAGTAAAACAAAATACAGAGGAATGGGGTGTTTGGATTAAACCAAACCATTGTTTGGAAAATAACTTATGAAGAATAGATTTTTTTTAAGAATAAATTTTGTAAAAAAGTGATTCTGATAAAGTGAAAGTGTTTGGATAGTTGTTATCAGAAACACTTTTTATATATGCAAATTACTAAAAAGGGCACAAATTAATATGATAATTACATAAAAGATAGATTTTATAATATATTTTAATTTGAAGGAACAAAATTGTTAATAATAAAATTTTTACCAACATAATTAATAATATATAAGATAATATAATTAGTAAATAATTAATATGTGCATATATATTTATAAATTATAAGATTAAATATATTTATAAAAAAATAATTAAGAGATGTTAAAGTCATATTACCATTGAGATCTACTGTAACAGTTACAATCATACTTTCCGATTTGAGTTAGAAGCAGAATATATTCACTTGTGTTTGAAACCATGGTTTTGAATAAAAACCGTGATTTGCTGATTTCTTTCCTGTTTAGCGAATTCATGGTTTCGGTCCCAAAATTATGGTCTTAGCCATTTGCTAAACAGACCCGATGTTATTAGTCAGGCATTGTGAAAAGGAGATGAGAACGGTAGTGCAGTGAAACTGACTTTTTTCTCATACACATGTTGAGGTCGAAAAGCATGTCACTCCGTTGTTCTAAGATTGGCAAAGAAAAACTGGCAAAAAAGTTATAAAAAAATATTCTACGAGAAATTAATCAGTTCGACCTCTTTTTTATTTTTCGAGAGACATTTCATAAAAGCCAAAGTAATGCGTTATCAGTGAACCTCAATAAAATGAATTGAATATAAGAAAAATGAAAACATCTTTTTTTTATTTCATAAAGGATGAGATGCGAATGAGAGGGTCCAGCGAAGGGAACGAATTCAGTATGTACTTAATTTTATTATTACTTAAAAAAATAATTATGATATATTTGTGATAGTTTTTATACCAGGAATTATTATGATATACAAATAGTGGGCCCGGATTTTTTGGGCAACCGAAGGAGGATGCTTGAGTTGTGATGGGAGGCCCATATAATAAGGCCTGTACAAGATTTAACGAATTGCCCAACTCATTGTGAGCTGTGCCGTGATCCTCCTCCTTTCAAAATTTTTCATGCGATTGATTCATGAAGTTTCTGGACCCTCCATGAAAAATCTCTGTCCAACACCTCAAAAATTTCTTGCTTTTCTTCCCCTCTGAATTGAATTTTAAATTTTAGCGCGGTGAATTATCAGCGAATAATACTGTGCTCTTGTTATGATCCGGGGGGGAGAAAAATCTTATACTCCTGTGCATGAAAGTTTCTAAATATAAAGTCATTAATTTAAGCCTGCCTATAACCTCAAGCGGATAGTTCATACCTCTTTCTTATATCTTTCCAGATTACAACGACTCATGATTCATACATCATGATCATACAAAATCTAACATTTCATCCTTCTCCTCGTTTAGATTGCCCGTGCAAACTTCACGCAAATCCCCCTTCTTCTCTTGTCTCACCAGCATGTATCAAATTTTTATTATTTATGTAATTCGTATTCAAAATACAGAACTTTGCATAGCAAGTATAACGGGTCAACTTATGCTTTTTCCTGCCAGCTAATTTATAATACATTTATATCTCGATATATTATTTTTTTAACATCTTATAAATTTATTTTGCTCACCAATTGTTACTTTAATTATTATGTTCACAAGTTTTTCTGCATGTGTGATGTGGTGTTTTTGGTGGACATTTTGATTTTGAGTTTACCTATTTCTTATATCTTTGCAGATTACATGAAGTTCAGGACAAGAAAAAAATTACAGGAAGTTTTTTTTCCTTTGCTCCGAATTTTTAGCCAAATTTTACTTTTTTTTAATAAAATTTTTATCATGGTTTTTTATACCCTCTGATTTTTAAATATTATAGTAAAAAACAAATGAGATGTGATATTTTCATACCATCCCAGTCGAGACTCAAGAAGACATATCGGACACGAGACAAAAATGTCATTCTGATTATTACTGAGGGGGTGTTTGGATGAGTCTATACATTTTTTCGCAAATCTATACAAACTTCTCCACATATTTATTTCGTAAATCGTGAAATCACTTCTGAAATTATAATTTTGTTTATATCTAAACACTCCTGAGATGAGGTTGTTCTAGACAAAATTAAAAAGCTACAAAGAATCTTGAGTTGGAAAATAAACATTTGAAAGTAATCTTACCTCGAATATGAAAACGATCATTTTAAGCGAAGGTGAATAAGTATTTCCCCTGCTGGCAAAAAAACAAAAAGAGAGAGAGGGTATTTCCTCTTCTTTTTTCGTGGCGAAGGGGATTGGATTGGATCGGATCTTTTCATCCGACATGGATATACATGATACTAATAATTGTACTTCGCATCAGAGAATAGTGCTAAAAAACAATTGTGCGTTATATAGATAAGCGTAATAATTGTACTTTGTGATGCTGCTTACATGCAAAGCCAGAGCAGCCCATTACACGCGAAGTCGAAATCTGTTATTAGCTTCATGCGATAATTTATTCAATTTTTATTATATGTACTGATGACGCCTTACTAACAATACTTTTTTGCTATTACGTGGTAAATAAGAGACGTGCTTCTATTTATTTGCGTTAATCAATCATGTGATGTGGAGTCTTCAGTTACATATGTGTTGACTGTTGGAGATCCATCAGAAACTGACAAGTTAATAGATAGCGGTGTCTTTATTATGAATAATTGAAGAAATTAAAATGCGATCTGGGGGACCAGAAACAGGGGGGTCCAAGAGCATGCCACCGTGATTATCAATTTCCAAAAATCCATTACAAAGCAGGCACATAAGGCGAAACGATACCGTATCAGTGATGGCAACTCAGTCCCTTACAAAACAATACAAGTCAACATACTATCAGTCCATCACCATTCGGCGGTGTGAACTATACATAACACCAAACGACACAACCGTCACATTATACTACGCAGGACGGGGGCTGGCTGTGGCACGCGTCTCGTATTGGATCATCTCCTTCGCATTTACACACGTGTACGCCGTGTCATATTTCCCCCGTCGCTGTGGAGTTCCCATTTCAAACTCCTGGACCACTACGACGACGTTTCATCCCTTTTTTTTTTATTTTTGTCTTGCTCCGAAGAAAAAAGGTCGCTAGCTAGCAGGCACTTGGCAGGGGCGTTATTGCGGGTACTGTCCGTCTTGAATTATTAATTTGAACGACTAAGGTTGTTTGCGTCCGAAACCTAAACTCCATGGGAGGAGGAGGAGGAAGACTCCGAAACCACGTCGTGTATCCTTCTCCTTGTCTCTGTCTCTGAAGCCCTATCCGCTCTGTTTCTCATGTATGCCTCGAAGAACTCCTTATTCTCTTTCTCCAGCTCCTTCCACACTGCTTCCCCCACATCAATACATCATGCATGCACGTGTCTCATTTATTCATTCATTCCATACATGTTACTTAACATCTATATATTTAAATGCAACAAATTGTACTTTCTACCAAAAAAAGGGGAACAAATCATCTCAATATATCTACGTATATGTATCCATACACTTCCATACTCGCATAATATATATAAAAGGGAGTTTTATTATGTGACCTATATAAAGGAAAAGGTGGGAGCGGTGGGAACTGACCGGTGGAAGTAATGACTGGTTTGATGTTGGCGTGTTTGGAAAGAGCTTCCATGCACTCTTCCTTGCTCATGTTGAACAGGATGCATTCCTCAATTAGACGGTGCACCTATTCATATATTTGCCTTTGATTAGTTCAGCCCTTGGGCTAATACTCATCAACTTGACCAAAAGAAGGAGGTTGAAGATTAATAAAGTAGAAATCGTAATTATATGATTAAAAACCGTGCGCATATATATAAAGGGATAGAACTAACCAATCGGATATAAGAATCAGGGGATGAGCAGTTTTCCATGCCGTCCGAGTTGCTCGTTTCTGAACCAGAGGACGAGACGGTAATATAAAGAATATCTGCAGGGAGAGGGAGGGAGATCGCAGAAGTTGAAATGAACAGAGATGAGCGAAGAAGCTAGAAATTAAAGAACGATCTTGAGCTGGAAAAGAGAGAGATGATGGGAGAAGAAAAAGGGAAGGAGGAGGGAGACGAAGAAGGCGTTGGATTTATATGGAAATAGCTGCACAATGAGGGGAATGAATTGAGTCCCACTGTGTGTCAGTAAAATAACGATTATTGAAACCTAAACAGTAAAAGAGAACATAGACGAGGGACGCCCCTCATGAACATATCATGCCATGCCAAGCGGCTGTGGGGTCCATACTCCCACGTGGGACTAAAACAGCGATTGGTCGAGAGGCGATTAGGGGAGATTCTATGAGTTTTATGATGACGTGGAGAAGTGGGCCATTGTCCACGTGAATACTGGGCCCCGTGTCCCTCCCTCTTTCGCCCCGCCACTCTCACCCACTACCCGCGAATGACTCCCTTATTGACTTGCTTGTTTAGGCAAGAATCCAACCCTCGTAATCAACCCAACAAAAAATCCAACGGTGATGCTCCGCTTTTTCGCTTTGCACGAAAATTTTTAATTTTCTTTAAATTAATATATATTTTTTCACCCTTCATTTGCCAACTTGTTTTTTTTTTTTTTTTTTTACCTCTCCCCCTCTCTCTCGAAGTAAGGGTTGGCAGGTGTGGCCATTGCATAACATAGCGCAGACGGTGACGTGGGTTCCCTGACTTTTTTTGTCTCTAACTTTTCTTTTTCAAATTTATATTTAAGACTGAAGTAATTAATATATATATATATAACCATGGCTAAATTAATAAATATTTCATAAAGTAAGTAGTAATTACTAAAGCGATAATGATGAGGGGGCACAAATATAAACCAAGTTGAGAAACATTACAAGTTGCATCCCAATATCGATCAACAATATATGATATGGTAAATTTGATAATTCCTTTTTTGCCGGCAAATTTGATAGTTTCTTTAATTATCTTTGATTGATTTAGCTTTGATCGGGCTTTCTGCTTCTTAGAACATAACTTTTTTTATTCACCATACGCAGTTTTTTATTCTAAATAAAAAACCTTACATGATAACAAGTTTCCTCGATCAGTAAAAAGGTGCCTGAACTGAGAGTCTGAAACCAAATTAGTGAGACCTGTATAAATTGATCTCACCATAAAAGCGTTATTTTCACCGTTTTTAGACTTCAGAGCTGAGCAAACCAATCGAACTCACTTGTAAATATTATTCCACTTCAACTTTTTGGCCTCCTGGGAGTGATCAGAAAACAAAAGTTTTGTTTAGCTCATTGGCTTCCATGCAGTACTGATCTTGATCTGAATAATATCTAATCTGACTGGTGAATCACATGCCAGACTTGCCTAGAGACGCATCCTTGATTAGCTAAATTAAATTCGAAAAATATATTTTCCTCATGATAACTTCTCGATCAAGTTATTGGGAAATAAAATATAATAAATCCGACGAGAGTGCAACATTTGCTTTGATGCCGTTCTACATATATAGGCGTCAACCAAAGTATCATTTATGCACAGGTTATTTATATTTGTGCTGTGTACCAGATTTGACTTTAATTGCGTGTATTTGAATGTTATGAAGTATGAACATAACATTTACTATAAATAAATGGCCAGCTGTGCCCACATTCTTTTACTTTTGGACAAATATATACAGGACAATGGGGGAAAAAAGGACGGGATGGGGAATATATGCATATAGAAATCAGTCACCAAGCCACGAACTGTTAAATGAACAGATTAAGGATCTTTCTGGGTTTAAATTCTGATCTTTGTTAGGTTAACAATACAGCTCATCATCGAGGGCCCCCACCATATATATCTTGATCTTATTATGAGCTTTGTTGCAGAACCGGTATTGCATGATTGAGATTGGCAAATACTCCTCCAGTATTTAATATAAGATCTAATTGTCGAGTTGATTCTGGTTCTAAATATGAAACATATTTATCATATTTATCAATTTTTCTTAAAGTATTCTTATTGATACTCCTTCAATCATAATCAAATAAAAAAGAGAGGAATAATATTAAGAAAGAATATTATGATGTTTGAGGAAAAACATATCATATTTTTTATAATTAGCTAACTTACCTAACTTTCTTAATCTAGCTGAATTAGTTAAATATGTCTCACATTAAGCACCGAAAGAGTATTAAATCCATGTGTCATGATTTTAGAGGTTATGTTATTTCAATGAACTTATTTTTAATTGGTTTTGTTGAAGGTTTTTGAAACACAGATTTTTATTATTCACATAATTATTACATATTTTGTTTGATTAAAATAATTTAGACATGTTTCATGGAGCTTCACAGATGAAAATAACAATGCAACTTATTGTAGAGACTTCATCTGATTACTAGCTAAAATCAAACTTTTATATCCAAATGAGGTACAGAACATTTAAAGGACAAAAGTTGGCAAAACAAATTAATGGGTGAAAATAACTCATAACATACATTTTTTTCCCCCGGCCATGACTTACGCACCAACTGTCCTTTTTACTGAAAATTCAAACATGTAATCTCATCGTGCTTAAAAAAATGTATAGAAGATGCTTAGTGCCATACAGTCAGATGATTTCAACAGTTTTTCTTTGGGGCATTGATGCAGTTATAATTAATTTTGAATATACTTATTGAAAAAGACTAATTATTTAACATGAAACGTGCATGGCATATAATGTTTTTCCCTATAGCAATTTGGTTTGTTGTAGCATTTATAAAAAATTAAAATCTATGTTAAAATATATTAATCTAATAATTAGAGATTTAAAAAAAAAAAAGGAGGAGAAGTTTCGAGCAGTTAACAAATTGAAAACTTGTTTCAAAAGGTCGCAGTATTATTTTAAGGGCAAACAGGGTGACATAATTATGCGTGTCAACCACGCTATACCGTGGGGGAGTGTCGTCATTTGAATAATATATTTAAAGTATTAAGCACTATATCTGATATTATATATTAATTAAATCACGCAATTACTTTATGGTAATGATGGTCTCACATGAGAGGCTTATCGTTTATCTTCCAGATCACCTCGTCTTGGTCCCGTGATGGCTACCCTTGTACAGTGTCCAGGCTTCGCAAAATGCGATGCCCATCGGTGGCACCCATAATTAATTAATTAATTAATTGAGGTCCGATTCTTCTTAATTAGTTATACTGCTTGCGATAATAGTAGTATAATACAGCAATCGAAGTATATATGTGTATACAAATATGACGTTCATTAAAATTTTGATTATGTTTAGCATTAATTAATTTCGTCCCTCTTTTTTCATGTTTATCATATTGTTTTTTTGGTACGATGATCTGTCTCTCTTTTAATTTTTTTTTTTTAATGCCCCGTATGTGATTCACGTGATGATGTTGAGCAAATTGAGAGGCTATATGGAAAGAGAAATCACGAGCATATTTTACCTCTGTTTATGCTTATACATATTAAGAAGAACGCACCCAACCGTTAGGTTTCAAAAAAGGCGTACACCTAAATGTTACTCTTTCGATCCTTAATATAAGACTCAATTTTTAAGTTGGTTTTGGTCCTAAATATAAGACCTATTTCTCATATTTATTAATTTTTCCTAAATTACCCCTATGAATACTCCTTTAACCATAATCAAGTAAAAGAAGGAGAGGGGTATTAAGAAAAATGATTATGGTATTTTAGAAAAAATGTGTTACTTTTTTTTTATAATTAACTAACTTACCTAACTTTCTTAATATAATCAAATTAGTTAAATGTATCTTATATTAAGGACCGGAGGAGTACGTTTTTTCTTCTTTAATTTGTACGGGCATGAGCCTTGGTTTAGTGCTTGTTTGGAACTGCTTGTATGTTAAATGCTTATAAGCATGTTTATGTAAGTCGGGTTAAAACTCTACTAATATACTTATCTTGTATTTCATAAATCATGATTGAAAAGTTACTTTTTGACGAATGCTATTATCATTTCAAACATAGAAATATATAGACATGCATATATTTAGTAATGTACGAGATGAAAACTTGTAGAGACCGAACAGCATCAAAAAAATAAAATACTCAGGGAATGAAATATGCTGCTAGATCATATATATTCGCGTGATGTTGGAAATTGCAACAACGAACCTATATTGTAAACTAATCGCCAAGCATGATTTTACCTGAATCAATTAGGATCACCTCTCCATTATATGATCACTCAAGATCATATGCAACTTGGGCATTAAATCCTGATTAGGGATCTCCCTGCTTCAAGTTTTAACTCTATCCAAGTATACTAATCCTGAAACTGGTCAGGGAAGTTAGGCATTTGGGAAATCTATGAATTCTATCAAAGCTAAAATTGTTATTGTCGCCTTGTCGTGACCTCAGCAATTAAAGTTTCCGAAGATGCGATCCCCTTGCTGATGTGGTCTCAGTGAGAGGTATGCGTGTAATATGCACATGACTTCCCTTTTATTAGAGAAAACGAAGTTGAACTATTATTAACCATCGAAATATACACACAAGCACCTGTTACTTTACACACACGGACGCACAAACACACAAAAGCTAGGCAGAGATCAGATTGAAGGGGGAGGGCAGGGAACAGAGCTAGCTTTCCACCCTCACAGGAACCTCCTCTTCTTTCCAGTAAAATTATGATGAGTAAGATGCACGATACCGGGATTCACATCCAAAGATGGTGAAGACATTCGAGAATTGCCATGAAATGCTAAACTCAAAGAAGTGGGAATAACATCATCGACCTTCTCATTATCATTGTCAAAAGGAGGAGGGTTTCGCCACTGTGGAGGCGGTGCAAGGAGAAGTGTGTGAAGCAAAGGACCAGCCTCTGTCACAGTTCGTAGCAATCTACCTTTCTGAGGCAAAGGTTTGCCACAAACCAGTCTATCAACCATATTAATGTCTCTAGAAAGAGCGACATAATCTGACTCCTTTGTTCCGCCACTGGCAAGAGATAAATAATCACAATGAGAAGTGAATGATTTATAGCTCGTACCTGAGCAGTGTTTGGTGCTCACTGATGATTTCTTGCTCGTGTGAGGTGGAGTACATGGCTGCAATTTTCTGAGTAGGACTTGAATTTGGCGTCTTGCTTCATCTCTTTCTTGGCAAACTATTTTCAACTGCTGCATCAAGCGTTTAATGGTCTCCTCGTATTTCCTTATCTTTGTGTTGTCTTCCATCGTTGACGACTTCCATTGATGTTTGGTGCGCGCTAGTTTATCCTTAATCTCATCTATACTCTGTCATTAGCAAATGGTTTTAGCTAGCTCCTAGAAACTCAAAAGTAAGCATAAGAGAAATATCAACTTCTGATCATAATATGAGGACCCGAAAAAAGAAATATTGTAGCAGGCTTGTTTGGGTGCGTCCTACAGCTAGGCAGCTAGCAGGGGCTCTCTTGTTATACTGTGTGTGTGTGAGGACAAAAGAGCGAGTATGCGGTAGTTAATGACTTGCTACTTGTTAGAATAATTGTTTTACATTTGAAACATCAGTTTCAAAAGTTGCACCTTGAAACCTGTTATTAATCACACACAACTTGGTGAAAAACTGGAAAGATGAAGCTATATCCACACCTAGGGATATGTTACATACGATTATTAGGACGAACTATTCTTTAATTAAGAACAGTCTAAAGTACGTTTGCTTCACTATAGAGTAACATAACACATACTCTTCAAACTATAAAAACTACTGATAGATACCATAAGGATAATTGATTACTACTTGCCAAATTAGACATCGATTATGGGCTTTAATTTCAACCCGTCATTGTGCCGCACTCGTCTTCAATTTGTATTCAGAAGTGCCTAAAGGAATTAATGGAGATTGACTGATTCATCATAACTATCACCTAATAAAATAGTTTTACTGGCTTGTCCTTTTGCCGCCAGTGAGTTCTCATATATATATATATATATATATATATATATATCAGAGCAAAACCAGTGGGAGATAGAGGGTGCATATAATAAGAGAGGAAAGAAGAAGAATTATTATTACCTGGTAGTGAGGGGTCCAGAGATGAGGCATCATGGCCGCACGGAGATGATGAAACGGAGGAAGACGAACAAGCAAGGAAGCAGATTAAGCGATGCAGATACTAGATAGCAGCAGTGACTGGTCGGAGTGGGTGGCCTTTTTCTGTGAAGTTGGGGAGACAACCTTATATACGCGAACTGCATACATGCACCAAAAGTTTCGTTGCAGACAAGAAAACTATTTAAGGACAGATTATCAAATCTAAAAAAGCCTGTGAGATTAAGATACACACACACATATGTTTTATTATTGGACAAGGGTTGCGTGGATCGTGCCCCTTTCCGTGGTTAATGGGATTCTGTCTCCCCCCAAATTATCGTCCTTTCGTCAAATTAAACTGTGTCAGGACCTACATTCCATTCCACTGTTACTCCGTTTCTGAACTAACAGCTTTCACGGCTTATCGACACCGCTCCTTGCTTGTTGCTGACCGCATCTCACACTGATGTCTGATACTACATGGGGAAATGTCTCTGACTTGTGTTGATGGAAAATACATCAGAGTATCGATTCTGTGTTTACAAAATTCACATGATATAATACTCATCTAATTTTTAATATATGATCCAATTATTGAGTTGGTTTTGCTCTTTTATATATAAGACCCATTTCTCATATTTATTAATTTTCTCTAAATTACCCTTATGGATACTCCCTCAACCATAATAAAGTAGAAGAGGAAGAGGGGTATTAAGAAAGATGATTATGGTATTTTAAGAAAAACGTGTCGCATTTCTTATAATTAACTAACTTGCTTAACTTTCTTAATCTAATCAACTACGAACAGCTATAGCTCATAGAATTTTATATCTTCCGGTCGTGGGCACTTGGAAATGCTAGCATAGGGATTTGAGGGGAAAAAGCGGGGGTGGAAAGTTGATGAAAAATATTTCGTGTGTTTCCTAAATGACAAAGGGCCTCCATGTACATGCATGATTTGACTTCAAAAAGAGAGTTTTCGACGCGGCAAGGTTTCCTCAATAGTAATGCCGTCGGTCCCTTCAGAAGAAAAGGAACAGAAACAGGCCTTGACCAGTTGACCCGTTTTTGTTAAGAAAAAATTATTATTCCGTTTTCTCCTCACCGCCAAATGATTTAGTTAGAGGATAATTTAAAGGCAGAAACAACTCAGTTTACCTCAGGCAAATAGCAGTCAAAGATAAATTAAAGGAAATACCACCTCACTCCTTGATAGCTAATTAGCTAATTTGAGTATATTAAATAAACTAATTAAGTCAAGTATTCATAATAAACATGTGTTCTCTTTTCTAAAATATCATTGCTAATCATGTGTATTAGCTAGAACTACTATTTAATAAAACTTTTAATATGCACAATTAATCATTACAATGACTATCTTAAAAAAAACTAATGAACATGAAAAAAAAAGTCAATTAGGGTCTTATTCTTATATTAAGAAGTAAAAGTCGTAATAAACAAGAACAAAGGGAAACCTTCAGTCTTCATGACTAGAAGGGAAAAGAAAAACTTAATTTTCATTTTATATATAACTATATATGTTATATTAGAGTAAATTTATGACATGATTCATAAAAATATTTTCTCAATTAGCCTTTGCAAATTAAAATCTCTTAATTTAGTTTTTTTTTTTCTTGATCAAATAAGCCCTTCTTTAGACAAAGCGACGATAAGTTAATATATTATGAGTGAAAAACTCATGCCTGATGTAATCATCTGGATGGCTATACAAATTTATTGAACTATTTGACTATCTTTACCAACCCCACTGCCGCCTCAAAAGGGAAAAGAAAGACTGCTCTGTTTTTTAAACAAAGGGACAAGTTATAGATATTGAGAAAATTAACTACATTAATTATTAATATTAAATGTGTATGTTTTCCATAAAATATTTCCGCTAACCATTATTAAAAAATTATCAATTTCTGAGGCATAATCTGTAGACAAGCCCGATAATAACTTAGGCCCAAGTCCAATGAGATGCATAAAGCAAAATACCAGCCAGACTGTCGGGACAACTGAGGCCGCCGTGGAGTTTTTGACAGAAGACGACGGCTGGTGAGAGGGAGTTTCCACCACTGTTGAGTCAGACATGGCCATGACCGCCACCATTTCTCTTCCTTTCACATCCTCCCGTCGCCGCTCTTCACCGTCCAGCGGCCTCCCTCGTTCTTCAACATCCTTACGTGCTTTCCCTTCCAGTTTGCCTCTATCTCGATATTCCGTCGAGTGCCCTAGTTTTCGCATTATAGCTTCCTCAACGAGCATTGAAACCCCCGTGAAAAGTTCGTCCGTTTCTTTCTTAGACAGAAAAGAGTCTGGGTTTCTCCATTTCGCCAAGTATCACGGCCTCGGCAATGACTTCATTTTGGTAAGTCTGAAGTCAATGCTTGCAGTCTTCCCATTCTTCACTCTGATGAAGTAATTTGGTGCACTATATGAAAACTTAGATAATAATTATTTTTAAATGTTCCTTGCTTTTCTTTTTTCATTATGATTTTAATTTATTTGGCCATTTTGAGTGATTTTAAATAGGTCGACAACAGAGACTCTCTGGAGCCTAAGATCAGCTCAGATAAAGCTGTTCATCTATGTGATCGTAACTTTGGGATTGGTGCCGATGGAGTTATCTTTGTCATGGCTGGCACTAATGGCGCTGACTATACCATGAGAATCTTCAATTCTGATGGTAGCGAGCCTGAGGTGATTTCTCTTGCCTCAAGTGTTATATTTCCCTATCTTACGATCCCGTGGGTCTTTTTGTTGGAATTTGGGGACATTTCGATATCTTCAGTTTTTGGAGAGTGCTGGATGGACCAGTTCTTTCTTTCTTTCCTTCCTTTTTCTTTTTGTTTTTTTTGGACGATAGACTTCATCATGTTTAATAATTTAACCTTATAATCCTTAGATGTGTGGAAATGGAATGCGGTGCTTTGCCAAATTCGTTGCTCAGCTTGAGAACTTACACGGTAGGCAAAGGTAAGGACCATTTTTTTTTTTTCCTTCCATTGGTAAGAACATCCACTGGTGGAGTTTTCTTTTCTTTTTTTCTTTTTTTTTTCCTCCTCATCTTTTATTTCGTGGTGAAATTTATGTTAAAAACATAATTTTTGCATACTTAAACAGTGGCGCCTTTATAATTATCACTAGATAACCGATGTATGTTCATATTTTGTTGAACTACTTTTTCTTATCTTGCAGTTTTACTGTACATACTGGTGCTGGCCTGATTATTCCAGAAATCGTAGAGGATGGAAATGTATGTTCTTTTGTGGGATTGTGTCGTTGTATACTTTAAAGACACTAGGTCATGTCACCTAGCTGCCAAAATGCCTTTCATGCCTGAACGCTGTAGTCATTATCATTTTGAATGGTTTTAACATGTAAGGGAGGTCCCTTTCTGTCCCTTATCTGGTATTGTTTTTTTGGTCTAAGTTGCTACAAAATGATGCTGGTTCAGGTCAGAGTTGACATGGGGGAGCCAATTCTTAAAGCGTCAGATGTGCCTACTAAATTACCTGCAAATAAGGATCACTCAGTTGTTAAGGCAGAGCTAGATGTAGATGGAGTTATCTGGAATGTAACATGTGTTAGCATGGGAAATCCACATTGTGTAACATTCGGTACAAAAGAAAGTCAGGTTCGTATTCTAGACATATGTGTTATAGATGCTGCAAATTTGTAATTTTTGTGTTATGTTTTCTGTTTCCTGAACTTAGAAATGTATTGAAAGGAAACATACCTGTAATAGGATATGCATACTTGTAGATGCTGACACACTCAACTGAAGATTGAACTCAGCCACATCAAAAGAAATTTTTTTGAGAATTTGCTTTTCTAAATGTCATTAATCTTTAATGGGCTTACTTAGCACATGTTTTAAATGCAAGCATTCTGCTATCTTACAGCTGTGCCAGACATTTGACTTTTTCTTTCCCTTTGGGCATGTAGTTCATGTTTATTTTGTTGCTTGTGAACAGAACTTATTGGTCGATGATTTGAACCTAGCAGAAATTGGTCCTAAGTTTGAACATCACAAGGTGTTTCCTGCACGAACAAACACAGGTTTGTGTTGGCCATTAATATGATTGAAATGCTATTTTAAACTTTTTTAGAGGTTTTTTCCCCCTCCTGCCCTTTTCATTTTTCCTAGTATGATTTGTGCCTCTGCTTTCCTTTTTCTTGCGCTTATGGTTATGATGCTGAATGTATTGGCTGGTAATAGAGAGTCACAGGAGCAGAAAATGCTTCCGGGTTGATGGCTCCTTGATCTTTATCAATGCTACCTCGTTCAATTTGTGGGTAACACTACTCTTGTTGTTTGCTTTTTGTTTTTTTGGTAAAAAGAGTTGCGGTGGTTAGTTGCATCAAAGGACCCTTATCACGTGCCGTCGACTCCTGGCACAAGTCTTTACAATTTTATTTTAATTACCATTTTTTAGATTATTGCGAATTTTAAAACAATCCAATTGATGAAACTTCCTGGGAATTCCACGTATCCTTGGAGATTACCATTCCTCTATTATAAAAAGACCTAAATGATTGTGGTGAGATCATTACTCTTATCATGTGGCTATCCCTCTCACCTCATGATTGGCATGGTCTGTCGTGTGATTTCATTTGCAGAATTTATTCAAGTTCTGTCTGATCATCACCTAAAGATGCGTGTTTGGGAGCGTGGAGCAGGTTAGAATGACTAGAATCTATCTTAATGCATTTGATAAGTACATAGACATTATTGCTAGTCAGCATCTAGCAAAATCAAAGGTGCACCTAACTTTTACATTTGAGGGCTCTTCTTTTAAATTCTTAATGTGCAGGAGCAACTCTAGCCTGTGGAACTGGAGCTTGTGCTGTAGTTGTTGCGGCAGTTCTCGAGGGTCGTGCGAAGAGGGTAAGCATGCTAATGTAGACAAAGATCTGCAGTGCTGTGCTAATATTTTTCATTTGCTATAGAATTGGGCAAACTACATCTATTTGGTTGGGAAAATAGGGATATTGTGCCCCCTGTAGCGTAATTTTAGCGGATCTTTTATTTCAAGGAATCTGGGGTAGTAAGTGTGCCTGCAAGTGGCAACATGAAAATTGTTAATTGTTTATTACCAAATTATTAATTATCTGTTCAGAACAACCAAGTGACGCTTCAATCGAGTTTTTTTTTTTTGGGGGGGGGTTAAATCAGCATTTTGATGCAAATAATGAATTCTTTCGATAAAATTTTCTAGTTTTCCCTGTTAATCGTAATTATTTTGTTAAGTGCTTCTCTATTTTAAAATTCTTGTTAACTGTCTTTTGCATCAAGAGAACTGTTTGGCTTTATAAATTAGAGATCTCTATTATCTGGAAAAAGGCTAATTTATGATGGATATTCAGTTATAGTTCAAACAGTATCGTCTGATCTTGATATTTTCTATAGCTAATCCCGCTCATTGAGGCCATTAAAACTTTGGTTTGGGGATTGTGACAGATTTGCAGGGTTGATCTACCCGGAGGGCCATTGGAGATTGAGTGGAGAGAGGAGAATAATCATGTGTATTTATCGGGCCCAGCTGAAGTAGTTTATTACGGATCTTTACCCCTTTAATTTGTTGTTCTCTCTGATATTTATGGTTAAGCTTGACAACCTTCTGGACTTTCCAGCTCTCTGTATTATAGAATGGCAACATTTGTCCCGTCGTAGTTTACTCTCACTTTGTGTTGATTTCAATATTTTCGAATTTAGCTTTGGACGGGTTTATTGTATTGCATTCACCGTTTCCCTAGGAAAATGAATTCCTGTCTGCAGATATATCTTTGGAATCTGATAATAAGATGAAATTTTAACATGCTACTGTGCGATGGGCATTTTTATTTTTGATTTAATTCCCAGGCATACTTTAGTTAGTATTTGGAATCTGATGATAATATGAAATCATGCAAAATGAAATTTGGATGATCAGGTATGGTACAAAAATATTCAGTCATTCTAATTTCTAAGTTGAACTACTCTAAGATTTGAAGTGTCTTAAGAAATTTTTATTGATGATGCAGTAAGATTTGTGTTTTGCTAATCTGAATTTTCTTCTGCTGAAGTTGTGGGAGCCGACGCAAGTTTAAAGATTAGTGTAAGCAAAAGAAAAGGGAAGACAATATTTTTAAATAAATAAATAAATAAAACCTTGGGCTTAGCCACTACTCTTATACCAGAAAAATTCCAAATCTGTTAATCTAGAGCTAATACAATCAAGAAACAAAAGACCACCGGACACGGTAACATACCAATTGAGGCAGTGATTCGCGGTTCTAAGTCAGATTAAGTTAACTCGGAATCAAATTAGTCATATTAAAATAATAAAATATAATTAAAAATAATAAAACACATAACTCCTAACGTAAATTATTTGTCACGATTATATAGTGTTGTTTGGAATTGCTCCATTCATGCAGCTTACCAATAAGAATCGGTCTAGTTGATAAGAAATCAGCTCATGACCCACAAAGTCGTGAGTTTGAATCATATTGTCGATATAAAAAACCTTATTAGTGAGTAATATGCAAATACCTCTATAACCGTTTTTTGAGCTTGAAAATATATCTTGGTCTTGACAAACCCAAGACCCAACTTATCTAATTTTCTTTTTTTTACAAAAAAAAAAATTCACGTGGCTTATTTGTTACATTTATTAATTAATTAAAAAAATTTATATAATACGACAATTTAGCAGGTGGGACATAATAGTTGGTCCCGACACGTATTTATGAAAATTTATTATATAATAAATCATAACATATAGGTTGGAATATGAAACTTAAGGTTGACATATATTACCTCCGATTTTATTTATAAGATCTTTTATAAATTATAAATGAGGTCTTATAATTAGAACCAGAGGTAGTATTTGAATCAATCATGCATAATTATAGGATAAATATAAAATTTTCACAGCTACTTCAATTTTTCTCTTTAATGACTAAAAACATTATGTGCAATTTTTAATTCAGTTCCCATCATTAATAATAATAGTTACGTGTTACATAAGAATGGAGATTCTCCATTCTCTGCTGAGATGTTTGAATGGCTCTAAATATTGAAAGTGACTTTCAGCCCAATAACGCGACCCAATAAAAAGGTGGGAGTCTTAGGGGAAAGGCAAGCGCCTGGTTTGAAATTTTGAGAGATGGCGGGTCCCACATTCCGCCCAGTGCTGGACCTCTCTGCATGACTCTAACGGCTATCTCGGCCTACAAATGCTCTCAATTAGCCGTTGCCAGTGCATCTCACTCCCATTTTTCACTTTTGAAAATACGCTTCTAAACAGCGAAATTCACCCCCAAGTAGAACTACCAAAGTCGGGGCAACACTCAGATCGCCAAAGGAAAGATCAAAGGAATCTCTTTCTGATCACTCTTTCTCAGGTTCTCGGCCCCTCCGTGCATATTCTCTGCCAAGATAACTGTACGTTTTTTCTTCGGTCTTTTATCTTCTTACTTCATGTATGGGTTCATTGGTTGCTGAGAAATTTGAGCTTTCAATTCAATCTCCGGACTTCCCTGGTCGTTCGATCTGAGATGTTCAATTTGCAATTGGGTTTTGCAGTCAGACAGAGATTATCATTTTTATGACAATATGCTGATGGGTGCTCCTCATTTTTTTTTATGCAGGCTATTGTAAAAGAGAAAAATGGTGTCAGTAACGCCTGATCAGTCTAAGAAGGTGGGATTGGGACTGTCAGCATCTCCATCTCCATTTCTCACTCCCCGCCCTGAGCGGCGACGCCCCGACTCAAGAGGTTCTGACTGGAACCCTAACCGTCAGGAGAGGGATAAGGAGACCAATGTGCAAGTTTTGCTTAGATGCAGGTTGCTTGTTGCGTTTTTTTTCGCCCCCTAATTGTTCTTGCATTTGCTTAACCTCTAAAAGACTTACGTTGCGAACGTTGTTTTTGTCTTGTTCTGTTCTGTTTTCCCTTTTCCTTCCTAAACTGTCTGTCATCCTTTATCTGAGAGCATTACTTTACAGTTTGAGCTTAACCAAGTGATAATTTGGATAGTTGAGCTACAAGTGTGGCAAGCTTGCAAAACTATTCTAGTGTATTCATTATTGTGTATGTTATTTGTAACCGAGAGTATTGGGTACGCATGTTGATCGGGTTTGATGAGAAAATCCGGATGTTCAATCTTTAAATCAGGCCATTAAGCGACGATGAACTAAGGCTGAACGTTGCCAGCATGGTCTCATGCAATGAGCATAGAAGAGAAGTCACCGTTACCCAAACTCTTGCTAACAAGCAAATAGATAGAGTTTTTGCCTTTGACAAGGTATACTTCTTTTACCTTTTGATGCTATCTTGCTCAATGATACTACCTATGGTATATGCTGAGTAGTAATTTGACTTAACCTCAAGTTAATTTTTACTTTTTGCGTTGCTTAGGTTTTTGGACCCAAAGCACAGCAAAGATCAATATATGACCAAGCAATTGCCCCGATTGTTAATGAGGTCCTTGATGGTTTCAACTGCACTGTCTTTGCTTATGGCCAAACAGGCACCGGTAAAACGTATACAATGGAGGGTGGGATGAGAAACAAGGTATTGAATTATTGTCCATCGTGCTTCTATTTTCCCTTATTGTGTTATGTGTCTTTTTTATCACGGCAAGTATGTCATGTCCCATGATTGATGCATAGGGTGGAGATTTACCAGTCGAGGCTGGTGTTATTCCTAGGGCAGTTCGCCAAATTTTTGATATGTTGGAGGCACAGAATGCAGACTATACCATGAAAGTTACATTTCTTGAACTTTACAATGAAGAAATTACCGATTTATTGGCCCCTGAAGACAACTCTAGGTCTGTAGAAGAAAAGCAAAAGAAACCTCCTACTCTTATGGAAGACGGGAAGGGCTGTGTGTTTGTAAGAGGTCTAGAAGAAGAATCTGTTTATGGAGTAAATGAAATTTATGCCCTGCTGGAACGTGGGGCATCAAAAAGGCGCACAGCTGATACATTGCTTAACAAGCGAAGCAGGTGGATTTCCTTTTGACCTACCAAAGTTTTTTGAGCAAGTAGATGCCATTTTTTCACCCAATCATGTTATTTTGGTGCAGCCGCTCACATTCAGTCTTAACAATTACCATATATGTGAAAGAAGCAGTCATTGGTGGTGAGGAATTGATTAAATGTGGCAAGCTTAATCTTGTTGACTTGGCAGGTTCAGAAAATATATTGCGCTCAGGAGCACGTGAGGTATAGGCAATGTTCCACTTAATTCCTGATCATTCATTAATTGCATGTTCATCAACAAGCAAAGCAGCAGTACTAGTATCATGTTCAATTGAACATCTAACCCCATTAAGTCTGCATACCTACCTTTTTCCTTTTTTTTTTTTTTTGTGGGTTCTTACAAGCAGAATGACATTCTGAGTTTGGTGTACATCTCATAAGATGTTGGAAGGAAGTGAGGAAGGGGGCAGATGGTTTTGTTATGCTTTTGAAGTCTGGAAATTTCAAATGACTTTCATGACAGTTGTTTTTTCCAATTTTTTCGGTGTTTAGACCTTCAATATGCTTGCCATAATTTCTTAATTCTGTGTGCATTAACAATTGCCAATTGCAGGGTCGTGCAAGAGAAGCAGGGGAGATAAACAAGAGCTTGCTTACCCTTGGACGGGTCATAAATGCACTTGTGGAGCATTCCGCTCATGTGCCTTACAGGTTCACCCAAATATCTTATTCAACCATAATGCATGCATTTAAGGTCTTGATGTTTTCCTTAATATGCATGCCATTTTGGTTTTTGTTCCAGGGATAGTAAGCTTACAAGGATTTTAAGGGACTCCTTAGGGGGGAAAACAAAAACATGCATAATAGCTACTATTTCACCATCTGCTTATTGTTTGGAAGAAACATTAAGCACACTGGATTATGCTAGTCGTGCCAAGAACATAAAGAATAGGCCCGAGGTTAGGTTCACCTCTTGTGATCTCATATGGATTTCTAAATGTAATTATTATTTCTTTGGGATGATGATCGAAGCTCATGTTAATTATTAACAGGCGAACCAAAAGTTTTCAAAGGCTGTTTTGCTGAAGGACTTGTACATGGAAATTGAGAGGATGAAAGAAGGTCTATTATTCACCATGGTTTTTCCAATTTTTTTGGGATGTATAGGGATGATGTAGAAATTCTCACGGCATTTTGTTACTGAATATGAAGTGCAGATGTTCGAGCAGCAAGAGAAAAGAATGGTGTATATGTTCCTCATGAGAGATTTGCCAGGGAGGAAGCAGAAAAGAAGGTTGTTAATTTGTTTTTTGTTAACATCGAAATTTTTAACCTAAAACTGGCCTACTGCATATTATTAGTTAAATTATGGTACTAAACAACAGAGCTCGTAGTTAACACAAATCAAGTATCTCAGATCATAGCATTTCTCATAAGTCAAATTGCCTACTCAAAAAAAAAAAAAAAAAAAAATCAGATGGTAGGAGTATATTTCAGTCAACATTTAATTTTTTATGAGTTTCATTAAGGATTGTAATGCATTACTCATAGATAAGATAATTGAGCAACCTGAGTTTCAAGGGAAACTGCAATTTTGTGGATTAAAGGACTAACTAATAACTAATTATGAAATGGTCAGTCAACTGTCTCATTATATTATCATTGAGTCAAAGGTACATGGGGGGGTTTGCCCGTAGCTTAAGTAATTTGCTTCAACTATAACCTGCAGGCAAGAAATGAGAAGATAGAGCAATTGGAGAATGACCTCAGTCTTAGTGAGAAGGTATTCTTGGTATCCATGATTAAAATACTCCATCTTCATTGGGATAAGTTATTATAGCCATTTTCCCATATATCTTGCAGGAAGTGGACAAGTTCCGGGAGCTTTATCAAAATGAGCAAGAACAGAAACTAGATTTGGAATGTGAGCTTAAGGACTGCAAGGTATTAAGTGGAACTTTTTCTTTCATGTTTTTTATCAGCCACGAAGGTTTGGTCTCAATCAAATTACTCTGCTAGGTTAATTTAGAGAAAACAAGCAGTGCTTTGCATAATCTCCAAGAGACTTACAATCAAGTAGTGTCAACTTTGAAGGAGAAAGAGCTTACAATTTCCAAGTTATTGAAATCGGGTTAGTCCTTGGTGGCACTCAACAAGGCAACTCTTATACTGAGTTTGTTAAATCCTAATTTTTCTCACCATATATGATTTGCATTCTTCTATGAGTGAACAGAAAATTGTTTAATTGAGCGCGCAAAGGAGTTGTGTACAGATCTGCAGAATGCATCAAATGATATTGATTCACTGTCCCTTAAGTTGGGTAAGGCAATTTTATCCCTTGAGTTTTCACATTCACGTTAAATGATCTAGGCTTTAGTCTAATCCTTTGGAGGTTTTCATCCTTGCAGATAACAAAACAAAGATGGAGGCTGAAAATCAGAAATTAATCTTGAATTTTGGTTCTCTACTGAACCGGAGATTAGGAGACTTACATAAGACGATCATGGGGTCAATTTCTCAGCAACAGGAACAACTAAGATGCATGGAAGACCATGCCAGTTCTTACCTTAGGAATAAAAGTGAAGTAAGGAAAAAAGATGAACACACTTGTTTAGTTCTTTCCTGGTCTTTTCACCCCAGCAATAACCGATTGACAATAATTTTCTCCAGGCAGCTCAAGCATTAGAAACAAGGATCAAGAAAATGACTGAGATATATACTTCAGGAACAGGGGTCCTGAAGGAGCTAGCCAACACATTTCATGTAAAAGTTTCATCTGATATGGAGCAGATCCAATCTAAAGTGTCATCACAGACATTGGCTGCTGAGAGTGTAAGACAACAAAAGCTTGTTCTGTTAATAATGAAGTTTGTCAATCATAGGATACCAGAAGTCAAAAGAATATATTATTTATATCCAAGATTGATTATGCTGTGCCCTTTTGCAGTTTCTTGCCACTGCTGTGGTCGAGGCTGAGGATGTTATATGCAGCATCCAGAATTCTGTTGATGAGCAAAAACATTTGCTAGAATTCTCCATTCAACAGCAAGAGGAGGTAGGTTGCATTTATACCGAGAATTCGTTTTTTGGGCGTGTTGTGTATTAGCAAAGTTACTTGTACATGATATCGAATTACTGCTAAAACAAGTTCATCCAAAATATAGGGATTGAAGCAGAGTCTGACTTCAGCACAATTGATTTCGGAGGCAACTGTGAATTTCTTCGATGACATTCATCAACATTCTTCAAGAGTAGTGAAAATTATTGAAGAAACTCAACATGAGAGAACCGACCAATTAGCTAACTTTGAGCAGTCGTTCAAGGTAAGCAAAATTTGAGCTTGTTGTTCCAATGCATACTCAAGTCTCATGGCACTCCTTGAGTCTCATTGTTAATTTTATTCCTTTCACCTTAAACAGGAAGAGGCCGCCAGAGAGGAAGAGCAGGCCTTAGAAAAAATCGCTGCAATTTTAGCAGACCTGACATCCAAGAGAACTGCTAGGGTGATTTGGCATTGTTCTTTTCTTTTCCTCTTTGTCCTGTTTTTTTTTTTTTTTTCCTTCTTCAAATTCTTACTGTTGAATTACATATGGTTTAGGTCTCAGAAGCATCAAGAAATATGCAAGACGCAAGCATGAAAGAGTCGAAAAGATTACAGCTTGCGATGTACAGCATGCAGCAAATTTCAGAAGATGCTACAAAGGAAGTTGGGAAGTACGTAGAGAATGCAAAAAGTCATTTCATGGCACAATCGATCTCTGCAAGTGATTCTAAGGCGTTGATGGAAGATTGCCTCCATGATTGGTTAGTTTTCATTTCTTATTCCTTATTTCTTCGTTATCTTCTTCCTCATCATCATCTTTCTTTCTGTCTTACATGTGTTTTCTTTAATTACAAATTTCTCTATACTGATGATGTCCTTCACCACTTGGATGTTGCAATTTAAATTAACCAACAATTGAACACTTCGCCGTTTGTACGTGCGCGCATCATTGCATGTATCAATAATGTGATTCTGTTCTCAAGTCAAACGGAAGCAACGTTATTACGGTCTTTTTCAAATATTTTGATACTCGTACTCAAGTTGAGCTTGAAATGAACGCTTTTGCATATATTAAACAAGATACCCAAGGACGAGAGTTCGTGAACGATTTAGTATGCTTGTAATTTAAATGCTTCTGACATTGCTTGTGACTCATATCATTGGTGAGAATTTAGATTTGTACTCAATTCTCATTGGTATATGCAGCTCAAGGAGAGTGAACCACGCAGGGGAGCAGTGGGAAAATGCGCAGATGTCCTTGAACACTCTCAACAAGAACAATCTTGCAGATATAGAAAATACAGTAACGTTAGTTCTCTCTGCTGGCATGGGAGATTTGGTATGGTGATCATTACAATTTTGGATTTTCCTAAACTTTTGCTGATATATTTGACAGGGCAAATATAAACTCAAACCACACTTTGAATCAAGAATTTGTGTCTGCATCATCATGTATGGATTCAGATTATGATGTAGGAACCCACAACCTGGTAGAAGCTGTAAATGGTAATATGAAGTTCTAACATTAATACTACGCAGATTTCTTCTTGTTAAATTATCATATGAACTCTCTCTCACGAGAGGAAAAAAACCTGCGTACTTTTCAGATTCACTAATGTTGGACCGTGAGAACAAGAAGGAAATTGATTCTACGACCGCACAATGGTCGGAGCAGCTCCGTTCTGTACAAGAGAAGCATGGTGAAAGCATATCAAGCATCCAAGCCCAAGCAGAAAAGTGCCTTGAAAATGATTACTTGGTAATATGGAATTTCTGCAATACCTATTACATAGTGAAAATAAGCTATTTCTAAGGTGCGAATTTGGTGTTGTGTATGAGAGCAGGTTGATGAGCATACAGGTCTAACACCAAAGAAACGAGTGAAACCTCTGCCCAGCCATGCATCTATTGAGGAGATGAGAACACAAATCACTGAAGAAGACAACTCCCCAGAGGAGAGATCCAAATGGATCCAAGCAGAGTCCAAAATTCCGCGTCTAACAGCAGCATCTCCAAATCGAACTCCTTTTGCCGACGTCAATTGACTTTGCCTCCGCAGTTAGCTCGACGGATCTGGGGAAGAAGCTCATCGCCCGATGAGCTCCCACTCCTCTTTTCCCCTGTAATGTTTCAACTGGTTCTTCCCAGAACCCAGGAAAATTTTAGGTAACCTGTAGCGTATGCTTCATTCTTATTTGAATTTTCTGTACTTGGATCCTAGAGAGCTTGAGGAGAGATGCCTGTGGGACACAGCACAAGTCATATGAAGTCCTCCGACGAAGGTGCTAGACCTTTTCCTTTGAAGCATGTAATGATACTATTCTAATTTCTATGTAATGAAAATAGAGGCTATCTAGTAGCATTCTACTGTTGTACCGTGTCTACGCGTAATTGGCCGCAAAAATAATAATAATCTCCGCAAGTAAAACATCCGAAGCTGCTTGCGGCCCACGTTCACCTTTATCCACGCGCCTAAGAAACGACAATTTAGTATTCCATAGGCGGTTATGTAAGCATAGTTTCTTTCGTCATTACAAGATCATCGTCGAAAGTTCTACACTCCGTCCCCCAGCCGCCATGCCATGTCTTGTGATTCTGCCTATATAAACCCGTCCACACGCTCTCTGGTTTCTCATCTCATAACTTCACATTCTTCTTCAACACTTCATTCTTCTTCGCGTTTGCACTAGTTCTTCCATGAAAAGACAGATAGAAAACCAAAACAGAGAGAGCTTAGATCTGGCCATCTCTCTAATGCTTCTCTCTCAACCGGCATCCAAGGCCCTCAACATGTCATCGTTGCCTCATGAATTTGAATGCAAGACCTGCAACCGCAAGTTCTCGTCGTTTCAGGCGCTCGGAGGTCACAGAGCCAGCCACAAGAAGCCCAGACTTGATTCCCAAGTAGAGTTACAGAAACCCCATTCGGAGAAATCGTTGCACGAGTGTTCTATTTGTGGGCAGCGATTCTCTCTGGGACAAGCTCTGGGAGGCCACATGCGAAAGCACAGAGCAGCCATGAACGAAGCCTCTGCTTCCATAAATGAGGTGATTTCTGATGTCCCAGTTCTCAGACGATCAAACAGCAGCAAAAGGGTTATGTGCTTGGACTTGAACCTGACCCCTCTCGAGAACGATTTGAAGTTGCTTTTCGGAAACAAGGCTCCTTCTGTTAATCTTTCCATGTGCTGACCATCAGCTTTTCTGTACTTATGGACCATTCTTTCATTCTTATGTTGTTTATGTAAACTAGGATGCTCTGTCATCCATATATAAATATATATATTTTTTGTTTGTTTGAATCATTTTCATCGTGCACAACATTAAACCTGTTCTATAGGACGAAATTTGAAAAGCCAAAAACATCCAAACATTATGCGCTCCACAATCAATCATAAATCTAAAACTATGTCTATCTCATAAACCCAAACACTCCTGTACTTACCAAAGATTATATGGTTATCTCAGGCTACTAAGTTATTATTACCTTTTTTTCAATTATACTCTTTTAAGAATTTATTCAAACACCCTATTAAATAAATTATGCTCATAAATTAATTTTATTAACTCTGTTCCTCTCAATGCCAATCCAAATGCATCATAAACATGTGGGGCTGTTTATAAGAAATGTAATTGATGGTAAGGGGCAGATTTGCCCTAAAAATTTATGTTTAGGAGTGCTGGGTATCTGAAAATATTTTTTGACTCAATATCACCCTAGAAGTTTTCAAATCATAGCAATATCGTCTTGGTCATTATCTAAGTTAAGTTTGACTGTTAGTTGATTAATTATGTTGAGTTGGCATGTTCACGTATCGCCCACGTTATTGTTTTTCTAGATTAAATGCAAATTTACTCTGAAAGTTTTTACTCATAACATGTGGCATCTGAAAGCTTTCAAATTGTAGCAATATTGTTATAACTGTTATCCATATTAAATTTGATAATTAATCAACCAGTAATTGAGCTGGTAGATCCACATGTGATCCACTTTATTTTATTTTTTCAAGATGAGGATTTAGCACTAACTCTAAAAAATTCATTGATTTTGTACTTTCCAAGCCTATGACTATTCCCAAAGTCGATCTCGTCATTTACATCTTTTAAAAATTCTTAGTGGGCTTTACATATATTATTTACTTTATTTGTATGTCCTACTTTTGTTTTTATAAAAACCACTAAACTAAGAGCAAATGACGAAATAATAGATGTATGAAAAGAGTTGTTTTTGTGTGGGAGAAATGGCACTATAGTTATGAACCAATGGATAATTTGAAGGGAAAAAAATAAAGTGGATCTCACGGTCAATTGTAAAAGTCAAAACCGTAATTTTTTAAGACTTAATCAGAAATATGTTGAATCCAACAGTCATGATTTGGAGTTTCTAGATGAAAGTCCATTACGCGAAACATGAAAGCGTTTGCATTCCGTGCTCATTAGGCTGATGAGCATGGAGTGCTCAGCAGTCAAAATGCCGTGTGTTTTGAGTGCTGAGCTCTTTAATTTTTTTTGACTTTTTTTTTCCTTTTTTGTTTTGCTATAGAAAAATCTATGTTACCTCAAATCATTAATATAAAAACTAGTTTGATATTTAATTTAATTTTAAATATAAGATCTCAATCCACATTTTATATATATAAATATATATCTATTTTTTAATATAATTTTTGTAATAATTGCACATGTTAAAGATTTAATCAATTAGTGGTTCTAGTTAATATACATAATTAGTAAAAAGTATTTTAGATAAAAAAATATCTATTTATTACAAATAACTAATTTAACTAATTTTTTTAATATACATGAATTAGTCGAACTAACTCTTATATTAAGAATTAAATAAAGTATGTATTAAAATTATTTTTGGTTAACATTTATCTAGTACTCTAAAATATTTTTTTAGATGTTTTCAATACCTTAAAGTATTTTATAATTCATTTAGTACCTTAAAATATTTTTTCATACACATTTAATGTCTTAAAAAATTTTCTATTTCTTGATATTGTATCACAAAATATTTTAGATTGCTGAAAAGTTATTTTAGGATACTAGATAAATCATAAAAGATTCTACAATACTAGACCTAAAGTATTTTAGAATGATGAATGCATATGGAAAAATATTTCAGAGTACTAAATAAACAACAAAATACTTTAAAATATTAGATTCTTAAATACTTTAGAATACTAAATACACATAAGAAAATATTTCAGGATATCATAAAATATTTTAAAATATTAAACATATCTAAAAAATATTTTAAAGTATTAGATAAATCTTAACTAAAAATAATTTTAATACATATATTTTTTTGTAGTGAAAAAAATTTAAAAAAATAAAGGTCCCTTGTTATCCTACTCAGGACGTTTTGAGTCCGTGCTCATCAAGATGATGAGACGAGCACGGAATGCGGATCCAACATGAAGCGTGAAAGGGAGCGAGCAAAGGCTGAAGAAGTTAACGCCCATGCTGATTGTCGGGGCGGTCCTACCCTAATTTGAATGACCTGCCATATGCGTAATTCGCTGTACCGCAGACGTTGACATTTCATCCGTCAAATCCCCCACGCCTCACTCTTCCCGCTGCTCCATTCAACATTTCCTCCTTTGCACACTTACGGATAGCAACAGAACAGTATATATAAAAATTAAATAATTAATTTGCATCTATTAATTAAAATTAGTATATTTAATACTTGTTTTTTAATTGAATCTTTAATAATTTTTATTGAAAAGAGAGAAAAAAGAGATATAAGAATAGTTTGTAAATGTAAAAAAATTTAATAAAAATTAAAAAAAAAAGTGTTATAAGTGAGTTCTAAATGAGGTGGATGGAGTAGAAGAAGGGTAAGACCAGACAGCAATGTAAAGTGAGGAAGGTTGAATATCCGCATCTCGGCGCGCGATGAGAGGCACTTGAGGGATAATGCCTTACGTCACCCCAATAAATACAGAGGCTGTTACTTCATTTAACGTAACGGCCAATGGCTTTTTCTTCAGAGCTTCCATTTGCGTGTCCTCGCAAATGGGCCAATTTGGGTATCCTCGTGAGGAAAGCAATTACGTCAGCCCGCCGAGGCAGTCATCTGAGTTTCGGCTGACTCATAAGGGCTTTTTTGTAATTGCAATTCGGTCAATAATGGACTTCAAAGCTCATTCAAAACCGGACGAAGCGTTGTTGACTACGTGTACCATTCAGTATCCAACGTGATTTTTTCCCCCTGATCAAGAAATTTGCATGACATTAAAAATATAAACTACTACAGTATTTATGTTTTATGAATGGCGTAACTACCTGTAAATTTTATTTTTTCTTGTATTGATTTTGATTTTGCCGATAATGTATGCAATATGCTCATTTTCCTAACGTGGTGGTGGGCCAAAAAAGCTCATTTTTCTTAATATTTAAAACGCTACTTAAATAATTGGAAAGATATTAAAATGCGGAAATAAAGTTGAGAGAGTGCGAACGATTGCAGAAGTATGGAAAATAATAATACAATGATACGTTGTTTCTTCGAAATTCTATTTCGTTATTTTATATTTGAAATCGAAAATTATTGTAAAATATTTGTGCCCTGATAGATTTCAAGCTGACTAGGGATTTTGAACGACTAGGGATTTTGAACATTATGGAGAGTTGAAATATTGTTGGCCAAGAAAACTAAAAAGAAAGCCGGAGAATTGAAATATTCTATAGTGGAGTGCTTAAGATATAACAGCGTCGCCAGCAACTATTATATTCCTACTGACGCAACCACAGCCAAATTGGATTTCACCATACACTGAATAATCAGTTATTGGTATCTATACTTAATGCAATGGCTTTTGGCCTCCTCGGGAAAAAGATTCATCAACAAATTAACTGGAGAATAAAAAAAAATCCCACAACATTAAATTAGACGTATCTTGAAGCATGTATTAGTCAATATATATATATATAATTATATTGACTCATTCAAAGTGACGGTTCTTAGGGATTACTATAATATATATATATATCTATCTCAAAGTGCGGTTCAGGGATTACTAGGGCTTCATAGTAATTAAGTTACTTAATGTTTGAATTTGACTGCAAGAATTTTAATCAACATAGTACAAACTACGAAGGGGATCACATATATAAATGTCTGACTTGCTATTATCTTATCTTTTGCATATGGGTCTGAAGTATCATTTAAAATATTAGTAAATAATTGAGTTGTTCTTTTCTTTATCTGTCGTGTTTTTTAAGCTTTGTTCAATGCATGTGTTACGTCGTTGCATACGCAGCTATTTTGTCACTTGAAACTTTAAAAATTGCTACTTCTGCCTATAAAACTTTAATTTGCATTCGTTGAGTTTGAATATGAAAAATTTATATACAAGAACTTTATGATTGAATTTTAAAATTATTTGTAAAATTGGAACTCAAAGCCAATTTAATGTTAAATACTCCAATTCGAATTTTATATCCAAATCTAGACTGGTCATGTACTACTTTCAGTCCTTAATATAAAAATTAGTTTAATGTTTAATTTAATCTTAAATATAAGAACCTAATCTATTTTATCTTCATACTTATCTATTTTTTAAAGTAATTCTTGTAGTAATTACATATGTTAAATATTTCATCAAATGGTAATTCTAACTAATATACATGATTAGAAAATATATTTTTAAAAAGATAATACTTATTTATTATAAATAACTAATTTAACTAATTTTTTAATCTCTTTAAATTAGTTAACTAGATCTTATATTAAGGATAAGAGTGAGTATTATATATCACGCACAGGCATATGCATCTGAATTATCTGATGATGAGGGCGTGACGTGATTTCACACTTGAGAGTTGAGACTGCTGGCTGCTGCCACTAGTCAACGGGACATCTTCTTGCTTTAAGTGCTAACTGCTCAAAACGCAGACAATGGTAAAATATTCATTATTCACTAAATTAAACTTACCCGGCACACAAACTTCTCTAGTCTATTACGTACAAGTATATGATATATCAGTTCTTATTGTTTTTTTTTTTTTGTGACAAGTTTTTATTTTTAATCAGCCAAATAAATTGACTTGATCCCGATGACGATCGTCTGAAAATGCTGTTAAATAAAATAATATGGCACGATATGACAACGTGCGTTCAGATAGAATGATCCACTTTAGACCAAGTTTGAGGCATTTGTCCCCACCCTCATGGCCTAGCCTCTCTGAAATTAGGCATCAAATTGTTGATTACGATATGAGTAGGTATAGGTTTTTCTTTTAAGAAAATACCATCCATTTATTAATATAAGAATTAGCTAATTAATTTTAAAAAATTAAAAATAATTAAGTTAGTTATTTATAATAAATATGTGTTGAATTTTTTTAATTATTCTATTTAATTATGGACATTAGAATTAAATTAACCCCTTAGTGAAAATCTTTTACAGTCAATGATAAAATTTTAGAGAAGACAATAAAAATTTAAGAGATAAAGTTAATTAAGATATTATATTTTAATTCTAACTAGCTCTTATATTCAAATCGAGGTAATAAATAACATAACTGACATGAATTATTAATCCAAAACAATAACAAAAATGACTGAGAACATGTGGAGCTTCACCATCTCCTTACCTTTTACATTAATCCTGCTTCCTCCCCACATATATGAGCATATACATGCACATATGTAAGTGCACGTTTAAATAGTGTTAGGAAGTCTCAGAAAATCAGTTGGAACCGATAAAAAAATTAGTTAGATGAAAATGGCATCTGACATAATTGTTAGGAGTAGCTGACCTTTTCACTTTAAAGTTCAAGTTGAACATTTTGAAGGCCAAAATATCTCAATTACACTAGTGATAATTCCTCCTTCTGCTGCTATATATCTTTCAAAACGTGTCCGTCTGTTGGGAATAATAATGATGTTTAATTTGCTGAGAAACGTAATGACATAATTTCAGTGAAAACCGTAAGCAATAATATTGTATGTGAGAGTAATTGGATCGAAGTGTGATGGAAATGGGACGTAATGCTGCACAACTGGTGTTTAACAAGTCAGCTAATTTAGGTTGCCCGCTTCTCCGTTCCCTCCGTTATTGCTCAACCCCTATTCACACGCCAATAATATATCTTCTCGACCACAACTAGCGAGTGTAGTGTTCAACATTTTCCATGGGAAAGGAAAGTAAATTAAAGTAGGCACCAAATAACGTTGTCCTTTGAATGCTTCCTCATCAGGTTGGCCGTTATACCTACCCTGCATGGAACTCGATTCCCACTAACGTGTGTGGAAGAAGCCTTGCACGTACAATTGAGCACAGGCGTCACAAAGCAATCAATCGGAACGCGGCCTTCCACACACGGACATGGTTATTGCAAACACCGTAGCACCAATTAATTGATTAATAAACTTCAAACATGCAGTTGTTAATTGAGACTTGAATGAATTGGTGTCCAAATGCGACGACGTTTCTCATTTAGCAGCCGGCGAAGTTTCCAGGAAGGAAAGACCCCATCAGTTGTTCACCAAAACTACACTTTTGGTCCCCCCGCCACGCGCTCCTTCGAGCCCAGACGTAACGTAAACCCCACGTGATCAAAATCCCTCAACCGTCAACATCGAAAACAAAAAGGGCCGAACAATCATTCACTAAGTATTCCCAGGGGCATTCTCGTCCTCACGCACGACTCCCCTTGCCACGCTCCTTTGGCAACATCGTTTGAACGCGGACTCAGCTTAAAACCAGTCAAACACTCTTTGACTACTCTTCTTATTGAACTCTATATATACCTGTCCCCCCCGGACTACTCCTCACACATCACACAGATTACAGTTCTCATCCCATCTTATATCCTCACACGCACAAGTTCGCTTACAGATCTAACTTGGAGGCATGAAAAGGGAGAGAGATTGCGAGACGAGCTTGGACTTGGCCAATTGTCTCATGCTGCTGTCTCACCGTTCTCACCAGCAAACAAAGACTGATAGTTTAGAATTTGAGTGCAAGACCTGCAGGCGGAAGTTCTCGTCGTTTCAGGCGCTGGGAGGGCACAGGGCGAGCCACAAGAGGCCGAAGCTCGACGGAGAAGACGACCTGAAAGCAGAGGCCAAATCTCTCAAGTTGGGGAACAGACCCAAGATGCACGAGTGCTCCGTTTGCGGGATGGAGTTCTCGTTGGGCCAAGCTCTTGGAGGCCACATGAGGAAGCACAGAGCCGCTCTTCACCCTGACACGAACCAAGTCGACCATGTGCTCGCCAAGGTCCCTGTTCTTAAGAGATCCAATAGTAAAAGGGTGTTTTGTTTGGACCTCAACCTAACGCCTCTCCAGAATGACTTGAACTTATTGTTTGGAAAGACGGCGCCCGCCTTCACTTGATATCTTCCTTTGTTTCATTCTTTTAATTCTTGTCGCGCCAGCTCTGCTGAATTTCATTTGTATTCATTAGCCTTGATCTTAACATTCATTGTGTATATTTTTCAATTCTTTCATTCACAATTTGGTAGGAGTTTAGAATTCGATCACATCCATCTTTCATGTATTTTAACCACAAGTTAATGTTTGAAGAGACTTCCCCTCACCAGCTGAATCCCTCTTGCAAATTAAATAAAACAAACAATCATCCAGAAAGAGTTATTGATAAGTTTTTCTTAAGAGTCTGAACTTTCGATCTATTATTCCCAGATCTCATTTTATCCTTATCGCCTAAGTTAGGTTGAATGCTTCTATATGATACTTAACACGGTCAACTATGTATGAAAGCGAACATCCAAATTCAATTGTGGGTAAAATACGGCCAGCGTGCGTTTCCATGAAACACAGAAGAGAGCGGTTGAAAATTTACAAGAGGACGAGTTGAATCGTTATTTGTGTTGTCAACAATGAACACAGCTAACACAGTGGGAACACAGAGAGAACTGGCAATATTGAACAGGAATGCTGTTTCATTGACTTGAATAGGAATGTTATTTCTAGAACATTTTCCTTTCGGCCATTGACATTTATACGCGTACATATTCCAAATTACCGATAATTTACGTGTACGCTCGTTTTCTTGAGGCAAGACTTATATACGCGTTCTTTTTTCGGGTGATCCCGGGGGATCCAGTGGATCGGGCCCAGTAACATAGAGGGAAGACGTTATGGGCCGCGCTGGCCTGCTTTTACTTGGGCTACCTCGAGATAAAAGCCCATATTATTGGGGTCAAACGTTAAGCCTTTAATTGGGTGGTTTTACTTCTTCAAATAGAGAGCTCCATAATTCCTCAACAGCAACTAAAAATGGGGAAAAATAATCGTAGGGAAAGGATGGAAGCAAAGCGACGGTGTGAACTAAGAAGAACGAGTCATTGTCCGAATAGTTGCACCCTCGTCTAGGACCTCCCAAAAATTAAAAAAAAACTGCGATTCAAATTCTTGTCCCTGTCACAATGCTTCAATGAATACGACTGCAGCACCTTAATTCCCAACAAGCACACGCATGTTTCTGTCACCGCTACAACATGAACAGATTCCCCCAACATTATTACTTGCCGAATAATAATTATAGTAAAAACAGGCTAGAATACGTCATCGATAACTGTTTGTATGTAATTGCTTCCTCTATATCTATATATATATATATAAAGAAAAACGGAAAGATGCTTGAGATATTAATGGCTGAGCGTGGACAGTTATGTACAGTATTTATATAATGCAAATTGTGCATCGGCCGTGACGCAGGCAATAGTAAGGAATCTTGGTCACGTGAAAGTAGACCTTCAAGAACGTTCCATTATATATCACGCAGAGCAGAAATAATCTTACAATCGACCTATACTTTCTGATAGAAGGAGGAGGAAGAAGAAGCAGCAGCAGCGAAAGCCCCCTAAAGTTCAGAAAGTGGCGGGGCATAATTATGGGAACTTTATCAGATCAGATATGCATGCAGGCTTGCTCTTTTTGATGAGTCTTATCTCATATGAATACAAGAAAATGAAAGACTTAATCATCACGAGACATGTGTGGTCCAAGCATGAAGCTATATGGGACACGTTATTTTAACTAACACAGTTGCTTCTTTCTTTCTTTCTTTCTCTGTTTTCTTTTTCTTGGCGAGAGGTTTCCATCATCATCGCCTTGAAACAGTTGTTTGGGGGTATATGATTATGACGCTGAGCTTAACTTTATGTCAATAAGACCGTTAATGATGATATATGCATTTATATTTAGAGGTTTGATTTCTTGTGAATTTAAATATGGAGAACAGTTCATGCAGAGACGCATTCCGTGAGCTTTTCCATCATGACCATCCACCCGAACATTATTTAATAAATAAACAAACAGGCATTTCACGATCCATCACACAGCTCTCATAAAAGAGAATTTGTTTATAATTCTAAACGAAGATAGATGATGGAAGAGAGTTCATTATACATATATATGAGAGCAATCAACTGAGATGATGAGACCCAAATAATTGCCTGAACTGATTGATAAGGGACCCATGCACATCAAGTTGAAAATAAAATGGTGATCATAATTAGTGCTTATATATATATATATATATATATATATCTCAAAATGAGCAAGTGGCGAGGAAGCGACCACTTCAATGAGTTGACATTCTGAACTAAATACGGGCATATATATATATATATATATATATATATAACACAAATATATTGAAGTCATGCATCATGAGGTTAATATAATACTGTCTAAATATAGGAAAAAACAAAAGCAGTTCGGCATTTATCAGTTATACAACCCATACCACAAACGTTCAACAAAATCCATCCACAAGCTAAACACCGATCCGTATGCTCGTTGCATTAAAGATAGGGTGTCGATCCAAAAGTACTTGTGGTTTTATATATACAGGGTAAAGACCGTTTGGCCAAGTGCCTAAAAATGTCATGTACATATTCTGAATCACATATATCGTAGCGCATAGTTCATATGTCATATGGTTATGGACCATATAATAGTTCCCACAAGTTAATTAAGTCTCTCATATAGAGTCAACTTTTACAATACTCACACCTACAGTTTTATACTTAGAGAGTGTTTGGATAGAAATCAAACCATGGTTTCAGAAGTGCTTTCACGGATTACGAAGTAAATATGTGGAGGAGGTTACCTCGTTTTGTGAAAAAGTGCTTCTGAAACCACGGTTTTGGAGCACCCAAACAGGCCTTTAGTATTACTCAATGTTCTGCAGTTTCCATGTTTCAATCCCGTGTCTTTGGACTATATATATATATAACTAATGCCAGGTAATATTTAACTTGATGGTGTTGTTAAGCTGGCACACTCTTTAAGAATTGATATCCACGCTTGCAAGTGGCAAATAATGTTCCAGTCATCCAAGTTCTATGGAACCAATATTGAAATTGTATATAACGATATATCTATTGAAATATGCTTGCTCTTAAATACAGGATCATATTCTATGCTTTTTATTGGATTTTCTGCAAAGCATCTTGAGTTTTCCAATGGTTTATTCCGTTTAATTTGAACGTTCTTGCCAGTTGTAAGATTTTCTTTCAACGTAACCTAGCTCGGAGTAACATATATAGGTCTGGTTTAGAAAACATTTAGCGCACGATGCATCATGAGACCCACTTTACAGAGAGAGAGAGAGTATTAATGCATACGATGAACTTAGAGAGAGATGGGAAAAAAAATCAATGAGGGTAATTATATAGATGCGCCATGTACAACTACACACACACACACTCACATATATATTACCTCGTCTCTTCTTCTTCTTCTTCTTTTGAATATATGAATCCACGATTCATTTTACAAAACAATTATATGTGCAAAAACGCGCTAGCCATCCAAAATTAACCAAGACATGCCATACTCCATAACTTTACAATATATCCGAGAGAAATAGAAAAGAGATAAAGTGTGTGAGAATGATTATTTTCCTTTTTTTTATCCATCAATTCATTCTGTCCTGTATTCTCTCTTTAATTAAAATGAACATAGAATATTCAAATTTCAGTTTTTTATTGGTTAGTGCTCAGCTTATATATGTAGCTATACCTATTATGAATTATTAATTTCCACTCTAGGTAAAATTAGAGTTCCGATTATAAAACTCATTGATTGCTCAACATAATGCCAAGCATCCAAGGAATTATAAAGTGGTCAGTCAACGAGGTTCAGGAGAGTTCTAGCGCCTATGATCTGTCCCAATACTACTGAACTTAACCCGAGTTAACATCAAAATTAAAATATATTCTGATCCTAATTTCAATCGCCCGTCCTCATGCTATTTTGCTGGCCTAATAATGAAAATCGATCAACTTGTTTCAGGCTTCAAACACATGCATGTGCCAATGAATATATATTAATTTAAGGCTATATGATTAGTAGTACGAATAGAAGTAATAAATATCTTAATTTGACATTAATACCAGACATTTCTATATTTGAAGATAATCGTGTTTAAAAATGGATTTCGCTTGTCATATTTAATATGAGAGAGAGAGTTAATGGGAAATTATTAGAGCGTGAAAGCCCCCCGTGCAGTCTAATTTATTTGAAAATTATCGTATTTCTGAAGCGGCTAACCATTAACGAAAAAACATTATTAATTGATTAATATAATCAGAAATTTAGAACTATAATTCCCCATTTTGTTAAATAAACAGGTAATATATACTGTGTTATTTAAACTTCACGTAAATCACATTTCCCCACTGTGACTCTAGAATCGACTTTGGATCGGAGCTATATGGAGCTTTCTGCATCTGAAAACAAGCAGGAAGCCCCACGTAAAGGAAAGTCAGTCAAGATATATATAATATAGCAAATTAATTAATTACAGCAAATTAATTAATTACAGGTGTAGGCTAGAAGATACCATAATGGATGGTTAGCGTATATTAGGGTGGGTATATACACGGGATTAGGTTGGAGCACTTGCTTAAGCACGAGATTAGTTGAAAAGCTAAGCAAAAGGCTGGTCAGAAAGAGCCATTAGACGAGCAGAGGAAGTAATTGACAGAAACAAGAATAAAGGTGGCGAAAACAACAAAGCTTCACTCCAAAAAGCTTCAAAATGATTGCTGGGAAAAAGGAAAAGCTCTCTGGAGAAAAAGATATGGAGTGAGGATGAGGAAGATCTAAGTATATGAATCGAAATATTATTTACATAAAGGATGTCATGATTAGGACGCTTAACCCCTAATAATCATGCCAGTACTTACCTAATAATTGGGTTAGCTTTTGATTGCTATATGCCACACTCTCCATCAAAACCTTTCCTATATAAAAATCTCTTCCTGCTAAGGTTGATTCATGGACCTGCAATAAAGATGGTTGTTAAAATTGTGAATGCGTTATTTTCTTGTGCATGCCCATTAATTGTGCCAACCCTAACCAAATTAACCTAGCATCTTGGGTCGTTGTATGTAAGAGATGACGATAACACAATGTTATCATCGTGCGATTTACATATATAAACTTATCTTCCCACGGCTCCAAATTAAATATCTGCGTACAAAGTTAGGAAGTAGTCTCAATCTAAATCCACTATGTACAATATTTATGCAGTAACTATTTGTTCATGCCTTACTCCTCCTA